TATTGAAAACAGCACGTATGGATTAAAGAATAACTTTCAATATAATTTTAATCAATCTGATGGGTCTCAAATTTTCAGAAGCTGCATTATATTTTATAGCTATAATAACGTTACTAAAATACCAACATGTCATATTTAAACAAATTGTCCGTTAAAACATCTAAAATAAAAGCAACAACTCAAAGAATTTTATTTTCATATCCAAATCTTATGGTTCGCGGGGGACGCCAACAGTCAAATTTCTACCCAGGGCAGTTTCGCAGAAATCAACTAAAAGTTCGAAAGGGACAAGTACTTCTAATGATGAATATTTAAAATAATGATGGCTATAAAATACATATACAAAGATCTTTAAAATATTTTATTAAATAAACTTTATATGAAAATTTATCACTTAAATATCTTTGTTTGTCCCCTATACCCAAAAACTCATACTTTTTAGACCTTTCCCTTCTATGTGGAAATTTGAGAAAATGTGTATGCTTATGAAGGCATTACCGTAGTCCAATCAGGATGAAAGTTGTATGATCGTGTTCCTGAGGTACAGTTTGCTTATAATGGAATCATTTATAAAGTACTCTTTCAATCTGATTTGGCGGTGATATTCCAATAGTATTTCCCTATATATAAACTGATAGCTGACGTAATTCATCTTTTTTAAATGATCAAACTACCATACTAGAAAAATATTCCATTTTAATCTTTAGGTATAAATGGTAACGTCGAAGTTATACAATTATTTGCTATCAAACTAATCATATTGATTGTTTGTTAGATAGGTATAGCAGTTCTTTGGTATCAAGGTCCTTTTTGTGAATGATCATATAGAAATTTCGAGACGTTGTGATTCAATAGGATTGATTATAAAGTATATCAAAATGTTAAGATACATGGATGATCAAACTTTTCTGATGCTTAAATGTGAACAAATCATGCTCAATATGATCTAGGTAGATGATTAAACCTCACTGTATGTGAATATTTGACCATCGTCTTCTGGTTTATTATAAAATTGGCTTTATAGGGAGTAACTTTCTTAAAGCAGTCTAAATTTATAATTATTATGATAATATCAATCAATATATTATAACTCATGATGAAATTTGTGCTTTTATATAGCCAAATGTTTTATATATGATAAAATATAAGCTATTCACGTCTACTATTAGTGATGTTATTTCAATGAATTATAATCCATGTTTAGATCAGTTACATTTTGGTTCGGTTTTGTATAGTAACCCATTCCACACAAGGATAGGTCTATGGGTGGTACGATGATACATTACGATAACTGTGGGTAAAGGCTCTTTTGATGATTAATAATTTATTTTTAATTTTTGAAGAACCTGAGCTTTTGATTTCAATAGTATAGTGAATTACTTGGTATATTTCCAATTGAATAATTTTTTGAATAGAAACTGTTACCAATAACTATACAACCTGGATCCCTTGCTTCTATATGTACAAAATATATGGGTATTATAGCCTATGTCTATGTTTGTCCCATGAGACGTTAATTTTACTCAAAATATGTTTCAAGACTATAGCTGGTGATTTTGAAAATATATCCGGCATCTGAAGCTCATGATCATTATATATCCACATAAAGTGGTATGGTATAACGTATAGTCACCCCATAATACAAGCATATATATCATAAAACCTAATTCTATATGTCTATAGATATGAACATATTAATTAGGCCGTTGAAAGGCTGATTCGATGATTTTATTCAATTCTAAAGGCCATCGGCATAACGGTATAACATGTACATTGTACATTGCCCTTTAATCTCAGACTAAGATACGAAATACATAAGTTTCCTGCAACTCAACCAATTACAACGTTTGAAACAGAATTTCAATATGGTATAGCGTATAATCCCGCCCATACAAAAACCAACTTCTCAAGTTGATATTATAATTAATATTCTTTGAGTGTTTATGCTTAATTTGAAGTTTTTTGAACGGCCCTGCAAAAGAAAACCCGCCCAGGAAATTTAAATTTGGTGATCATCAAAAATTTGTGAAAAAATACGACGAAAACACCCAAATTTGGGGAAGAAGAACCATGTTTACATATGAATTGACTAGTTATGTGATATGTTATCGAGTATTAATGATGTTTTAATTCTATTCTATGGATATATTCAAATAACTATGTGAAACCCGCTTTTTTTTATGATGGTTCCCTGATGTTCTATTATAACCCCGTCCAACGGCTGTTCTAGAAATGGATAAGCATTAAGCATAAATATTTGATTGAAATCTGGCACAACATAAGCACTGAGTCAGCGGTAATGCAAGTTTTATTAAAATATTCCCAGATTGTTTGATGATTTACGGCTATTCATGAATTTATGCTTAATTTTTATTACCATTTATGAGTATTATTACCATTTTTGCATTATGGATATAACCATGATTTGTTGAGAATATGCTTGGAATACCTGTGTGCAAAGTTTCTTATTCTATGCAAACCTTAATGGGGGCCGTTTGAGTTAAGTATTTAAACTATAAAAACGGTTCTTTATCCTGATTATTATTTCAAGCTTTAAATTTATCTAATCTCATCAATCAGTTCAAATATAGATCAACATCATGACTGATAAATATGTTAATGATCATGTCATTAATGATTTAGAAACCAATTCAAAACATTCAGATGATCATGAAGAACCAATAATTTCAAAAGCTTTACCTTCAGAAGTTTCTACAAAAAAGCAAAAAACAAGAGGTGTTTTAAAAATTGAAGCTTATTCAAAATATTATCAACATCCTTTTTATAAATTATTATTATTTTTTTCAGTTTTCTTAATTGCTTATACTTATGGTTTAGATTCATCGGTTCGTTCTGTTAATTTAGCTTATGCTCAATCTTCATACTCTACACATTCTTTATTATCAACAGTTAATTGTATCCAAGCAGTCATTGCTGCAGCTGGTCAATTAGCATTTGCAAGAATTAGTGATGTTTTCGGTAGATTAACTTTAATCTTTATCGTTGTTATATTTTATGTTATGGGTACTATAATCGAATCACAAGCAACAAATGTTCAAAAATTTGCAGCAGGTGCAGTTTTTTATTCTTTGGGTTTAACTTCATTATCATTAATGCTTGAAGTTATTACATCTGATTTTTCAAATTTAAATTGGAGGGTTGTAGCAAGTTTTGTTGTTGCATCACCTTTTATTATTAATACTTGGGTTTCTGGTAATGTTCAAACTGCAGTTGGTGGTATGAATTGGAAATTTGGTATTGGTATGTGGGCTTTCATTTTACCATTGGCTTGTATCCCGTTAGTATTATGTATGTTACATATGCAATATTTAGCTAGAAAAAATGGTGATTTAGCCAAGATTAAACAAGAAACAAAAGCTCAATGGGAAGATGCTGGTTGGAAAAAATTTCTTATTGAAACTTTTTTTTGGGATTTAGATCTTGTTGGATTAATTTTAACAATTTTAACATTTGGTTTAATCTTAGTTCCTTTCACATTAGGTGGTGGATTAAAATCTGAATGGAAACATGCTAAAATTATTGTACCAGAAGTTTTAGGTTGGTGTTTAGCATTACCATTATTTATCTTATGGGAATCGAAATATGCTAGAGTACCAATTTTCCCAGGTTATTTATTCAAAGATCGTGGTATTTTTGCAGCTTTAGCAATGGCTGTTTTAATTAATTTTATTTGGTATCAACAAGGTGATTATATGTATACTGTTTTAGTTGTTGCAAATAATGAATCAGTTAAATCAGCAACAAGAATTGTTCAATTATATTCATTCACTTCAGTTATCGTTGGGTTTGTTGTTGGTGTTTTAATTTCATATGTTCGTTACTTGAAAATGTTTATTCTTTTCGGTTCATCAATGTGGTTATTAGCTATGGGTTTATTAATTAAATTTAGAGGTGGTGATGATATTTCACATTCTGGTATTATTGGATCATTATGTCTTTTGGGGTTTGCAGCTGGGTTATCAACTTATACAGTTCAATGTTCAATTCAAACATGTGTTAATCATCAACATATGGCTGGTGTTCTTGCAACATATTTAGCTTCATATAGTATTGGTACAAGTGTTGGATCAGCAGTTTCAGGTGGTCTTTGGACAAATATTTTACCAAATGAATTGAGTAAAAGATTAGATGATCCAGAATTAGTTGCATTAGCTTATGGTTCACCTTTTACATTCATTGCAACTTATACATGGGATACAGTGGAAAGACAAGCTGTTGTTTTAGCTTATAGACATATTCAAAAAATCTTGTGTATTGTTGGGACATGTTTTTGTATATTATTAATTTTCTTTGCATTGTTATTAAGAGATCATAAATTAACTAGTGTTGTTGCAATTGAAGATGTTGAATTAAGTGATAAGGAAAAAAGTGATGATGAATCCATTTTAGGATGGTTTAAAAGATTTAGAAAGTGATTAACCTAGCTGGTTGTTGTATATATAAAAGAATGACGTACACGCGTTAAAGATTTAATAATTAATGTTTTTGAAGTTCTACAAATAATGTGGTGTAAAAGAAAAAGATGTAATTGTATATTGAGTGGAATGGTCACTATCTGTAAAGACCATGAACACACATCCACCTTAATATACCAGTATAATATTGTACTTATTAATAAAACGCTGTGTGCATTCAAACTAAATCAAACCAACATCAGCATTGTAAATCTGTATCATTGTCATATCAAGTATTGAGATTTTAACGCAAAATCAATTGCCATCCAACAGGTTATGAGCCATAAGAGGGAGAATTTGGTGTTACTTTTAAATCAAATTAGAGATTAAAAGCTTCCAAAAGGACAAATATCTTTCAATTTATATATGAATTATATGTGGATACAAAGATTTGACGTATAAAGGGTAACTGCTTATGTAATGGTAAGTCTATGGAAATAAAATATAATAGATTGGAATTACACAGAATGAGCTAGAATTTCTGAGAAAAAGATGTATGCTTCTTCTTTTCCAGAGTATTCCAATTCCCCCTAGCCACTGTCAAGTAATATCACACCACTTTACCACCAATAAGATCCTTCTTCCTTCTTTTCCCACTTTGATTCTTCCTGATAGAATGTTCTAGAGAATTTCGCGAGTGTAAAAAAATCGTTGATGCGAAAAAAACCAAATTTTATAAATTCAACAAAACGTCCACTTTTGCCATCCATTTGAATTTGATCTTTTAGAGGACAATCACAGTTCATTCAAAGTCAAATATTACTATACACAATGTCTAAAGCTGAATCATTCGAGTTCCAAGCGGAGATCACTCAATTGATGAGTTTGATCATCAACACCGTTTATTCAAACAAGGAAATCTTTTTAAGAGAATTGATTTCAAATGCTTCTGATGCTATTGATAAAATTAGATATCAATCTTTATCTGATAAATCTCAATTAGAAACTGAACCTGAATTATTCATCAGAATTACTCCAAAACCAGAACAAAAAGTTTTGGAAATTAGAGATACTGGTATTGGTATGACTAAAGAAGATTTAGTTAACAACTTGGGTACCATTGCTAAATCTGGTACTAAATCATTTATGGAAGCTTTAAGTGCTGGTGCTGATGTTTCTATGATTGGTCAATTCGGTGTTGGTTTCTACTCTTTATTCTTGGTTGCTGATAGAGTTCAAGTTATTTCTAAAAACAATGCTGATGAACAATACATTTGGGAATCAAACGCTGGTGGTAAATTCACTGTTACTTTAGATGAAACTAATGAAAGAATTAACCGTGGTACCATCTTGAGATTATTCTTGAAAGAAGATCAATTAGAATATTTGGAAGAAAAAAGAATTAAAGAAGTTATTAAACGTCATTCTGAATTCGTTTCTTATCCAATTCAATTATTAGTTACTAAAGAAGTTGAAAAAGATGCTCCAGAAACTGAAGAAAAAAAAGATGAAGAATCTGATGATAAAAAACCAAAATTAGAAGAAGTTGATGAAGAATCTGATGAAAAAAAGGAAAAAGAAACTAAAAAAATTAAAGAACAAGTTGAAGAATTAGAAGAATTAAACAAAACTAAACCATTATGGACTAGAAACCCAAGTGATGTTACTCAAGAAGAATACAATGCTTTCTACAAATCAATCTCAAATGATTGGGAAGATCCATTAGCTGTTAAACATTTCTCTGTTGAAGGTCAATTAGAATTCAAAGCCATCTTATTTATTCCAAAAAGAGCTCCATTTGATTTATTCGAATCTAAAAAGAAGAAGAACAACATCAAATTATACGTTCGTCGTGTTTTCATTACTGATGAAGCTGAAGAATTAATCCCAGAATGGTTATCATTCGTTAAAGGTGTTGTTGATTCTGAAGATTTACCATTAAACTTATCAAGAGAAACTTTACAACAAAACAAAATCTTAAAAGTTATTAGAAAAAACATTGTTAAGAAATTAATTGAAACTTTTAATGAAATTGCTGAAGATGCTGAACAATTTGATAAATTTTACACTGCTTTCGGTAAAAACATTAAATTAGGTGTTCATGAAGATTCTCAAAACAGAAACTCTTTAGCTAAATTATTACGTTATAACTCAACTAAATCATCTGAAGAATTAACTTCATTATCTGATTATGTTACTAGAATGCAAGAACATCAAAAAAATATTTACTACATTACTGGTGAATCATTAAAAGCTGTTGAAAAATCTCCATTCTTAGATATCTTAAAAGCTAAAAACTTTGAAGTTTTATTCCTTGTTGATCCAATTGATGAATATGCATTCACTCAATTAAAAGAATTTGAAGATAAAAAATTAGTTGATATTACCAAGGATTTCGAATTAGAAGAAACTGAAGAAGAAAAAGCTCAAAGAGAAAAAGAAGAAGCTGAATTTGAAAACTTGGCTAAAGCTTTGAAAGAAATTTTGGGTGAACAAGTTGAAAAAGTTGTTGTTTCTCATAAATTAGTTGATGCTCCAGCTGCTATTAGAACTGCTCAATTTGGTTGGTCAGCAAATATGGAAAGAATTATGAAAGCTCAAGCTTTAAGAGATACTTCAATGTCTTCATACATGTCTTCCAAAAAAATCTTTGAAATTTCACCAAAATCTTCAATTATTAAAGAATTGAAAAATAAAGTTGAATCTGATGGTGCTCAAGATCGTACTGTTAAAGATTTAACTACTTTATTATATGAAACTGCTTTATTAACTTCAGGTTTCACTTTAGAAGAACCAACTTCATTTGCTTCAAGAATCAACAGATTGATTTCATTAGGTTTAAACATTGATGAAGAAGAATCAACTGAATCTCAACCAGAAGCTTCAACTGAAGCTCCAACTGAAGAAAAAGTTGCTGAAACTGAAATGGAAGAAGTTGATTAGATTTAATTCTTTCCTACTATTAAGTTTGCTTTATATATATAAAAAATTACATTATATTACTACTACCCTGTTTTTTAATTTAATTGGATATAGTTTTTGATAAATAGCTCATTTTGATTTTAATATAGTATTATTTTCGTTTTAAAAAGAAATTGATTGTAGATTGAAAGAATATTGAAAAATTTTGTTTATATACCCGCGAATTTACTAAGTGAAAATAATACCGTACTTAGACTTCAAATTATATACCAAATCAAACAATATATCATAAATTACACCAATTGAACTTTATGATGACAGAGAAAATAGATATAAACCGGATCCATGATGATTTTAACAAAAGAGTGAAAGGTGAGTGTTTCTCAATCAACTTTAGCTCAAGATCCACAATTGACTAACCTTAATACAGAAATACAAGAATCTATAGATCAAAATGATCCAATTGAATCAAAATCAAACATTAATGAATTGAAGAAAGAAATTGAACAAGTTTCACATTTATTACCATCATATCAACAATTATCTTATACTGAGGTAAGTTAACAAAATGTTCTACACTACAGTTTTTTAATATACTAATATTATAAGCAAATAAGGACATTATTTGATAAATTTGAAAAAAAGAAAACTCCAACAAGAAGGTTTAAATTTTCTAAAAGACCTGAAAAGACTAAGAAACCCATCCCTGTTTCACCTAGTGGACCTGATTTATTACAAACTGAAGAAATATCAAGCTTAGAAAACATAAATTCCCAAATCCATAAAATAAATAACTCATCTAAACAATTCATTAAATCAATCCAGGATTCTATAATAATAATACCACAAACTGATTCAATAACAATGAAAAACATTAAGAACTCAATAATTTATATAAATTCATCAGGACCTGCTTTTTTACAAGATATTGAAAATTCAATTATTTTCGTGACTTCTCATCAATTAAGAATTCATAATACTACAGATTCAATAATTTTAACTATGGAATTATTGAATGGTATAATTGAAAATAGTTCAGGCCTAATATTCAAACCTTTGGAAGGAGATATTGAGATTAATGATTTTGATCATCCTGGATTAGGTGATAAGAGTCCAAGTTTTAAGAAATTAAGTTTTACAGAAGATGATTTAGAATTAAAGAAAGGATTGGAAGATTATGATGTTGAGAATCTAGAAAAAGCTTTACAAGATTTGGAGATGGTTATTAATAAGGCTAAAGAATGATTTACAAGTAATTATACTTTTTAATATTTGTATTGGGGTTGTGTATCCTTAATTCATTATAGTTTTTTGACCTTTAATATCGAAATGTAGTTGCAATACATACAGTTTAAGCCATCATTAAAATAATAGTTTTCCATAATCAAGGGTTATAGCTCCATATATACAATGCACTACATTTCTATATCATCTGCAAAACTTTTTATTAGCAATTTTCCAAGAATTATATAATAAAACAAAATAAAGACAAGCTGATACTAATTAGCAAAAGTTTATTTAAAACCAAAAAAAACATCAAATTCATACTTTCATATAATATATCATAGATAATCTTCTCTATATCTTGGATTTCTATATCCGCCACCACCAGCAAAACCATTATATCTTGGTTGTGGTGGTACATAACTTGATCCACCTGCAGGTCTTGGAGCTCCATAATATCCATTATTTGAACCATTTCCTGGAGGTCCATAATCATCACCTATACTTCCTCTAACACTTCCTGGATGTGGATGTGGATGTGGTTGTGGTTGTGAATGGGAATGGGAATGTGAATGTGAATGTTGAAATTGAGTTGTTTCAATTAAATCTTCATCATCAAGATTATTTTGATCTTGTTGTTTTTGAAATTCTTTTAATTGAGATTCTAATTCTTTATTTCTATTTTTTAATTTTCTTTCAGAAACTTTTAAATTTGAAATTTCAGCTTCTAATTCAATTAAATTTGATTGAAATTTTTGTGAAGAAGTTTTAAAACTTTGTATAGAAATGTCTTGGAAAATATTTGGATAAGTTTGTTTAAATTCATCAATATTTTGGAAACTTCTTGAATTTGAAGATTTATTATTTAATTCTTTATTTAATTGTTGAGTTAATTGTTCAATAGTTTCATCTTTAACATTTTGTTCAGTTTTCATTATATTAATTTCACGATCTTTTGATTCTAATTCATTAATTAATTCTTTTCTTATTTTGGATTGTTCTAATTCAACTTGTTCTTTTGTTTTCAATTCGATTTTTGAAATTTCATCTTCACGTAATTGAATTTCATAATCATAATTAACAGATAAAAATGATTTATTTAAATCAATTGGTTTTAATTCTAAAGCTTCTTTTATTGCATCAGTTGCCAATTGATGAGATAATTTCATTAAAGATTCTTTAAAAACACTTAAAGGTATAGTTTCTTTAATTTTATTATGGAAATCTTCAGTTGTTTCACTTGTTTCTAATGCATTTTCAATATTATATTTATAACCTTGTAAAAACATATTATAATCATCACATTCTGGTATATTGGAATAAATTTCAAATAACATTGCAATGTTTTTCTTTAAATCTTCAATTGGTTCATTATCATATAATAAACTATGTAAAGTAAATTTTGCAGCATGACCAGCAAAATTTTGGAAAAAAATATAATTATCATAAATTGTTTCTTCATGTTGAATTAAAAATAATTTTTCAAATCTGAAAAATAAACTTGATATTATAATTTGAGAATCTTTATAATTGAAATTTGATTCATTATTAATTTGAATTGAACGTGTAAAAGTTAATAATTGAACAATATTTGTTAAAACTCTTGTAACTCTTTCTTTTTTAGTTTCAGAACGACCTAATGGAACAATTTCATGATCATGAATGAAATAAAAAGAAGGTTTTAAATATGATAAAAATGAATAAAAGGCAAAATAATTAAAATCAAATTCAGATTCAATTTCAGTGGGTAGATCTTCAAGATCATATAAAGTGAAATCTTTATCAATATATTCAATTGGAGCAGGAGTTTCACGTTTTTCTTCACCATAATCCATTAATTCTTCACCATTTTGTAATTGATTAGTTGATTCAATTTTTTGATATTTTGGTGGAGTTGAAGTTAAGAATTTTGTTAAGAAATAAGATATTCTTAATAAATCATCTAATCTATTTCCTAATTTGTTATAGTATTCATCATTTTTGAAATGTTCCAAGTATTTATCAGAATGGTTTAATTCAAAATTGACTTTTGAAGCTCTATTTGTAAGTGTCTGTATAAGAGTTTCCATGATCTATGTATACCCTTTAACAACAATATCCAACCAAAAGAAAAGCAGCTTATCCAACGCAATTGAGCACCCAGTCCAGTCCAGTCCAGCAGTGTCCAGCCTAGCAGTATCTTTCCAGCAGCACTCCCTACCAATCAGTCTCAGCAGCCTCAATCAGCGTGTTGTTTTGACTCTTTTGATCTTTTTGATTCCAATGTTTCTCCCTAACATTTTAAATTTCGCCATTAAAAAAATCAAAAACAAACTCTCTGATTACGTCATCTTCGACTAATCATATTTCCTTCGCGAATTCTTTTGTTTACTTTTCAAAATCAAAACAAAGAAAAATGTCAATAAAGAAATTGTGAAATTGTGAAATTCTACTGCTTTTTCACTTCAATTTGGCTTGTTATTCTGGTTTAGAGATCTAGAAGAAGGTGTTGAAGCTGCTGCTGGTATTATTCAAGAGGTCATGTCCAGCTCGCCGCCAAAGAAACACGTCGCGTCGCGGTATCTGGAGACCATTGGTGGTCCATTACAGCCATCGGTTAAGCTGAATGCTCAAGTTTCACCAATGGGTCCAAAGACCCCGTCTAAATCTACAAACTCTGAACAGAGCTACAAGGAACAATTATCACCAGTGAAGAGACTGGTTTTTGAAAGAGAACAAAGAAATAATGGTGCTGATTCAGGTCCCGTTGCTGCTAATGCTAATGCTAATGCTAATGCTATTCCTGTTACGCCAAATACTCAAAGAATTCAACAATCCATGGCTAACTTGAAATTGGATAGTCCTTCACCTTTGAAAAGAACTACATTCAAGCCAGTGGAAAGTAAACCAAGTGCTGTATCGGCTCCTGTATCTGGTAAAGAGAAAAAAGGTTATGATTATCTGTGTAGAATTGGTGAAGCTAAGGAATGGATTGAAAAATGTATTGGTGAAGAAATCCCATCTGCATCTCAACTGGCAACAGATGCTTTGAGAGATGGTGTTATATTAGCTAAACTAGTCAAATCTTTTAAACCGGAATTGGTTAGAAGAATAACTCCTTCAGGTACAAGATTACAATTTAAACATACTGAAAATATTAATGTTTTTTTCCATTTCTTAGATTTTGTTAGAATGCCTGATTTATTCAGATTTGAATTAACTGATCTTTATGATAAAAAAAACATACCAAGAGTTATATTTTGTATTCATGCTTTAAGTTTTATGTTATCTCAAGATTCTCAAGCTCCTTTAATTGAAAAATTAGATGAAAAAAAATTAAATTTTACTGATGAAGATATTCAAAAATCAAACCATAGTTTATCTGGTGTTAATTTACCAAATTTTGATTCAATGAATAAACAATTTGGTCGTGAAATTCCAAAATCTCCTAAAAAATTATCAATTCCTTCATTAAAGGAAGCAGCTTTAGAACAAGAACCATTATCATTAAATACAACAACTACAAGAGAACTACCTTCACCACCTCCAAGATCACCAAAATCTCCTTCAAAATTAATGAGTAAATTTTCTGATAATCCATTTTTAGAATCTGATAATAATCCAGATTGGAAACCTCCAACTTTTGGTTTGAAAAAATTTAATTCAAATCCTAAACCAATTGAAATTGAAACTAAACCAATTGATATCCCTAAACAAAAAACTGTTCAACCTGAACCTGAATTAGAAAATGAACCTGATTTTGAAAATTCATTAAGAAGTGGTTATAATTTATCACCAACTAAAACTCAAAAAATGTCAGAATTTGATTATTTACAAACAATAATTAAATTTCAATCAATTTCAAGAGGTTCTATTTTCAGATATAGTATGTTTGTTGATCGTATTATGCTTAGATCAATGACTGAAGAAATTGTGGAATTACAATCTTTAATAAGAAGAAGTATTATTAAGAAACGTTATTTTAAAGATACTTCATCAATTGTTAATTATGTACCAGATATTATTAATTTACAATCAACAATTAGAACTAAATTACAAAAAAGAAGAATTTCAAGTGTTACAAATGCACAACCAGATTCTAAAACAATTGAATTACAAAGTCTTTGTCGTGGTAAAAAAATTAGAGATCATGTTTTGGAAATTAAAATGTCATTATTGAAAAATGAATTTAATATAATTGATATTCAATCAGCTTCTAGAAAGAAAATTTCGCGTGATAAATTTGAAAAATCACAATTATCTAAAGACTATATTATTAAATTCCAATCACAAGCACGTCGTGTATTATATACCAAAAAAATTAAAACTGCAGTTAGTGAAGCTCATTCTTCAGAAGATGTTTTATTAATTTTACAATCTGTTATTCGTGCAAATACTATAAGACGTCAAGTTGATGAAAAATTTACCGTTTTGGGAGATTTCACACCAACTTTAATTGAATTACAATCAATTATAAGAGGTGGATTTGGTAGAAATAAATTAAATAATATTTTAGATATTATTGATTATGAAGAATTAAATCTACAAAAATTAGTTGCAATTGGTAAAGGTAAAATTTTGAGAAAACAAATGATTCAAGATAAACAAAATTTAAAATATTTAACACATTCAGTGATTTGTGTTCAATCAACAGTACGTGGTGTTTTATCAAGATATGGATTTGATTTATTTTTAGATACCTTAGATTCTTATGCTGAAGAAACAACAGGTTTACAAGCTTCAATCCGTGGTTATTTACATAGAAGAGCTAAAAATGAAGTTATGGAATATTATAAACAACATTTACCTTCAATTATTAAAATTCAAAGTTTTATAAGAGGGAAATATTTAGGTAATGCTTATAAATCTTTAATTTCAATGGAAAATCCTCCATTATCAGTGATTAAAAAATTTGCTCATTTATTAAATAATAGTGATGTTGATTTTGAAGAAGAAGTTAATTTAACAAGAATTAAAGAATCTATTAATGAAAAAACTGCATCAAACGAATCATTAGAAAAACATATTGGTCAATTAGATTTGAAAATTGCCTTATTACAAAAAAATAAAATTACTTTAGATGAATTATTATTACAAAAAAATACAGATTTATCTTCAAATTCAAATCAACATCATTCAACTATTGATGTTAGTTCATTAAATAGAAAAGCTAAAACAAGAATGGAATTATATGAGAAATTTTTCTATCTTTTACAAACTCAACCACTTTATTTAACAAGATTGATTCATAATGATTATCGTGGTGTTGATGTTGCATTGAAAATTTTTAATAATTTAAGATCTGAAGAATTACCAACAAGAGAAGAATATTTATTCATAAGTTTAATTGATTCTTGTATTAAAGATTCTATTTCAAAATCAAATGCAATTGATTCATTACAAAAAACTGATTCTTCATCAGGTTGGCAAAGATTATTAAATACTTTTAATGAAACTCAAAGAAAACCATTAATTGATTTATTTGGTGAAATGATTGAAAATATAATGAGTGATTCACAATTAAACATTGAAAGTGATCCGGTCATTATTTATAAATATGTTCAAAATACACCAAGACCAATTTCTGTTGATAAGGCAATTGAAGATCCTGAAACAAAAGCTGAATTCATTGCAAATTTACAACATTTAAGAGAATTTGGCTCACAAATTTTCAGGGTTTTAAGTGATGAATTTGATAAGTTGCCAATTCATATTAGAGTTTTAGGTAATATTGCTTATAAGGCATCTTTGAAAAAATATCCAAATCATGTTGAACAAGAACATTTAGCTAATGCAGGACATGTTATTATTAAAGGTTTTGTTAGTTCAATTTTTGAATCACCAGATTTTTTCAAAATTAAACCAATTAATATTTCACAAAATTACAAGAAAAATTTGAATGCAATTATAAAATTAATTTCACAATTATTCACAATGAAACCATTTGGTTCAGAAGACATTTATTTACAACCATTAAATAAATTTATAAATTCCTCGGTTGATGGTGTTCGTTCTTTAATTAAAAGTATTATTGATGTTGGTGAAATTGATACTGTTTATAATATGACAGTTTATGATGATATGACTGCACGTAATAGACCAAAATTAACTTTAAGAATTTCAGATATGTTATCAATTGATGAATTAATTAAACAAGAAATCCAAATTGTTGCACCATATAAAGATGATACATTAAGAGAAATCATTCATGATTTGAAATCAAATAATGCAAGAGATATTTCTAAAATTAGTGGATTTTATACATTAAGTTTAAATCCATCAAGTATAAAATCAAGTCCTGAAGAAACTAAAATCAAAGCATTATTTATGCAAGCTAAAAGATGTGTTTTATATATGATTCAAGTTCAACAAGATCAAAATGATTTATTTGAATTACTTAGATCTAAGATTGATAATATTCATGAAATTAAATTTAGACAAATTATTAATAATGAAAAACAAAATATTCAAATGAATAGAGTTAGTGAATATGTTAATGATGGTCAAGGATTCCTTGGTGATTTAAGTAACGTTACATATCATAAATTAAAACAATTATCATTAGAAAGAATTTTAGAATTAGAATCAATGGGTAAAGTTACAAGAAATAATTCATTTCAAATTTTAATTAATGAAATTGCATATGATATTAAAACAAAATATGATCAAAGAATTTCACGTAAAAAGCAATTATCAATTGCAGAAAATACATTAATTAGATTAGATGAAAAAGAGAAATTTTTACAAGATCAATTAAATGCATATAATTCACATATTGATAAATCAATGGAAGAATTACAATCAAGACCAACTAAAACTAAAAGAATATTACCATTTACAAAACAATTTTTCTATGAACGAGAATTGAAAAAAACTGGTAAATTACCAAAATTTGGTGCATATAAATATTCATCTAAAAGATTATATGAAAAAGGTATATTAGTTGAATTACGTGGATTAGATCAAAATTTAGGATCATCAGGTACATCATTTTTTGGAGGTTTTAATTTCCCCAAAATTGATTTCATGTTTAATTGTGATAAAGCTGGAATTTTTACAATATCAAGTAAAAGTGGTACATTAGCAGTTAATGGATCATTAGCCACGCTAACAATAGATGAATTATTAGAATATCAATTTGAAAATAATCCATCAATTTCATTATTTGATGGTATGGTTAAATTTGATACAAATTGTTTAATTAATTTTATTTTCAAGAAATTTTATCATTATAGTGAAGGAAATTAAATCATTTTCCAATATATACAAATACCCAATTTAACATTCATTTTACAATTATTTTTTGACAATTATATTAATATATTACACTGTTTATTAATAATTAAGGACCTTTTATTAAATTGTTAACATGTAGATGTTTATGCACCTTGATGATTATTTATAACAGCTTCAGCAACAGCAGTTAAATCATCATGATTATAAAAATTCGTTCCAACATTTCTTCTTTCATTCATTAAATCATCTTGATGGTTCCCATGACTTGTTTCATTGACATTAATTTGATCATCACTTTCACTTCCATCTTCTCCTTCATCTTCACCTCCTTCACTTTCATTATCATCTCCTTCACCTTTATAATCCTCCATTTGGATAGTTTTTTTAGCATAATCTAAAATCCATTGATCTCTATTAGCTAAATCAAATAAAGATATATTTGTTAAAGAATCTTCTGCACATTTTCTAATTTCTTTTAACCATAATTGTTCTTTAGATAATTCAGATAAAGTTAACCAATTTTCCGAAGCTAAATGAACTTTTTCCATTAAATCATCATAAATTGTTGAGTTTAATTCAATTGATTCATTTGATAAATTTTCATTATTCAAGAATTTTACATTTAAAAATTCACAAAGAATTCTATAAGTTTCTAAAGTTGGTGGTTCTTGAGGCCATTGAATTGGTGGTAAGAAATAAAGTACTAATCTAGGGAAACTTGGTAAACTTTGATTATCAAATGATGATAATTTAGGTTTATTTAAATTTAATAAAAATTTATTTATACCAATTTTTTTACCTTTCTGTAAACGATCTCTAATTTTTCTTTTAAATTTTGATCTTTCCTTAACATCTAATCTTGAATTATATTTTTTAGCTCTAATTTTCCTTCTTTCACGTATTTTAACTAAATCACCACGTCTTTTAACATCAGATCTTAATTTATTAATTAAATCTAATGGATGTCCATCACTACCTTTTTTCAAATCAAGATGACGACCCATTGAACCCGGATGAGAAAAAGTTCTTTGACAAAATGGACACATTTTTTTAGGATCTGAACCTGGTGGTAATGGAGGGATCAATTGATTTATATCATCATCATCATCATTATTCTCATTATTATTCTGTACTGTATCATTATTATTATCATTATTCTGTGTATCTTTATTATAATCATTTGCAATTGAAGGATCAATATAATTTTGATTAATTGAATTTAGATCATCATTCAAGACATCTAGATTCCTAATGATATAATTATTTAAATTATTATTTGAATTTTGATTATCATTATTGATATTAGATGATGACATAGTACTAGTATAAAAGTTTAAATTGTGTCAAAACAAAGCGTACTTTACGGTTTTGATATTTATGCTTTAATTTGAAATTATTTTTGAAATTTTGTACGGTATTTTAAAATTTTAAAAAACCGTTTCGCGGTGATTACGTAAAACATATAATCATTAAAATTTTATTTCATTAAAAGCTATTCACAATTATTTTATACTGGTATTATTTATATTGGTTTGTTTATATTTGTTTGCATTTGATTATTCTGGAAGATTCAAGTCACCACGTTGTACCGGAGAAGTTCTAGTTGATTCTGGAATATGTCTTTGACTCACTTCATAATCCATTTCATGTTCTAAATCATGATTTTCAAAAAATTCACGTTGTTCTAATACAAATATTCTTGCAACAATGAATTTCTTAACAATTATTAATTCCTCAGTAGTAAATAATGAAGATAATTTATTATTTGGATGATTTATATCATATTGAATCAAACGACGATTTGTTTCAGATTCACATTGTTTTAATCTAAAACTTTTCCTAAATAATTCAACTTCATCTTCCATTTCAGGATGATTTGCTAAATTCCCATCAAAATTGAATACTGTATTGATCATTTCATCTTCAGCATCAAAATTAAATTGGAAATCTGAATTAGTTTCCATTAATTCGAAAGGGATATCATGAATTGTAATATTTCTTTGTTGTCTTGGTTCTTGTTCCTCTTCTGATTCTTCTTCTTCTCCCTCTGATTCTTCTTCTGATTCTTCCTCTTCATCCTCTTCCTCTTCATCCTCTTCTGCTTCTTCTTCATGTTCCACAACACCTAACCCAGATAAAAATTTAACTTCTTTATAAGCAATAAATAAATTATAAAAATCTTTAATCAAAACTAAACTCAAACTAATCAATAAATTAGATAAATAAGTAGCATCATCCGGGGTTCCCCCACTAAAATTATTAATAAATTCATTATAACTTGGTGAAGTTTGTAATAAAATTAAAGAAATTTTAGAACTTATTAATGGCCAAATTATTGTGGTTAAAATCTTTAATGATATGGATTTTTGTTTTTGGAAAACTTGAGAATAATCTCTTGTCAAAATTGATTTAAGATCTCTTATTCTTTTTTTCTGGATTATTGATCTTTCTTTTGGTGATGAACCAAATATTTTATTATATAATTTTTGAATAAAATTTAAATTCTGGGTTGCAGGATTTGATGAGTTTTGATTTTTTAAAAATTTTAAATCTTTTAATTCATTTAATTCAGAATTTTCTTCTTCAATTTCATTTAATTCTTCTAAAGAAATTCTATCAGCTAAAAAAATTGGTTTTATAAATCTTGTCCAATTATAATAAATTTTATTAAAAGTTAAAGAAAACCCCAAATTATAAAGTCTTTTCAAAGGTTGACTTAATAATAAATATAATTTAGGATTTTTCCAATTAAGATTTTGAATTTCTTCTGGGTTTTTAAATAATAAAGTTGGATATAAAGTGGCAAAAATATCCATATAAAGATTTGAGCTTCTTAACCCCCAAAGGAAAACAGGGAATCCACCAATTAAACCTAATTGCCTACCACCAACTTCTTCATTTTTAAAAGCTTTATCAATAGATTTATTCTTAAAACCTAATAATTTAGTCAAGACACTATCAGGAGCTAACCAACTAAACATTTTCAATCCAAGAGAAACTAATATCCCCAAAGCGGTAACAGAAACGGTGAAAACACCAGCGGATCCCAATATAGCTAAAGTACCAGTCTTGGAAAAATCACTTAATCCAGCTTTTATTAATCCATGTAAACTTAAGATTTTACTTGGTTTCATAAACAAAATTAATGGAGTTGAACATTGAGGACATTTAATTTGATTTTGAATAACTTGATACCTACTTGAACCTATATTCCCCAAGGGAACACCAAATCTATAACCACCTTGATTATTCCCCTGGTTTACCATATTTGTTAAATCATCTGAATCTCTCAGTTTATTAAATTCAAAATCTGATATCCAATCTATTAAACAACGTTTATGAGCTCTTAAAGAACATGGACATACTCTAATTAGTTTTTTAGAATCCCTGGAAGTAGATAATGGCGGTGAGTCTTGTGATGTCCCTAAGCATATATAACATCGTTCTTGATCCATTATGAAATGACCTAGAACCAATGAAACTAATGGTATAATATGAAACAATTCAAGTTTATTTACCTTTAATAAATATCAATTCGCGGGAAAACCATTTGCTTAGTCATCCTCGCGAATTTCTTCGTTGATTTAATTTTAATTTGATTGTTTAATTAGCACATTATCATACGTATAAATGGACCTCAGCATCAACTCCGTTATGAAATAACTTTTTATGTGAATAATGGAAATCATAGAAAGGTACTGTTACAATAAGATACTGTTGCAATACTTTTTGAAGCTAGAATCTATATAACTTTCGATTTGAATTTGGCTAATGAAAAATTTAAAATGTCTGGCTAGTACATAAATGAATTAGGATTCAAATGTGTCTTTTCTTAATCCCAATTGCAGGATTTTTTTGATTTTTTGCGTGTTTGTTTTAAACTCACGTTGTTATTCATTATACTATTGATTATAATATTTGAATAAACTTAAACATATGGATACCCAATAGTCTACTAATTCTTAACCTGAGTTGAAACTACTGGTCAAATTCATATTCATAATTTTTTCACATAAAAACAATACAAACAGATGTAGCATTTATATTACTATGCAAATGATCAATTAACGAATTCAAATGAACCAAATTAATTAAGCCTTTTTTTTGCCTTTCCTTAATTGATTTTGTTCATAATTCATTACTTAATAGTTACTGGATTATTGTCTGTGTAGCAGTTAGTTTAAGTTCTATATATTCAAAATTTTCATAATAATATCTTTCCAAATTTGACGTATATGAAGAGATCGAGAGATCAGGGGAGTGATGATATGACTCTATATACACAGATCACAATAAGGATAAATATACGGAATGACATATATTCAAGTCTCATCAACCATTCAATTGAAATCACCTTCTTCTCTCTTTGGTAGACCTCGAGATATAATTTTTAAAGTCCACCGTTTCCTTAAACAAGGACGGTTGTAAATATTCTACGTTAGCTATATATCAACTAATATCTTGTACAAGTTTGTAATTTCTGTTCAATAATGAAACCTACTAATAATAATCAAAAAGCACAATATATCATAATTCTAACTTGAGATTGTATTGTAATTTAGTTCAACAATATTCAAATTTAAAATAAGATATATCCTTCAAACGTATATAAGTTTATATAGTCACTGCATGTAATAATATCATTTTGAATATTTTCTCCATATAAAAATTATCAATCATGAATAATATCAAAATTGTGGTTCCCATATAATTATATCAAAGCAATTCAAACGTTCATTGATCGTGAATTTCAGGCAAAAATCAAGCAAACTAAAGATCACAAAATTGTTACAGCCTTTATTATAAACTTTTGTTATAAAATTGATAAAAACTATGAAATGAAGAAAAAGTTTTTGAAATTATGCGTAGTCATCTTCGCGAATTTTGAAAAAAACCTTTCCATTTTTTTACACGTATATAAAAATAATGATTTAAATAAACATGAATTTTTTTAATTCTCAAGAATAATGAAGTATTTGAGCTCATGATTTGTGATATTATATCGTTTATGTTGATCATGAGATTTCTAATTTCGCCATTTGTTAAATGAATTTGAGCTATCAGCAATAAATTGTCCCTTATAATTATAAATATTGCTGGATTTAGATTGGTTGGTAAACATAAGATGTTTTGGGAAAATGTTTGATCTGACTTTGATTTCAAATGCACTAAGTGGTCTTCCTGACCAACATGATATTATTTGCTTCTATACTATCTTTTATGAATTTTCATTTTGATCAACAGTTTGAATATTCATTACACGATATATATTACAGATAATTAGATAAACATACAATATGAATGTTCAATAATTTACTAATTCTTAGCCTGAGTTCAAATTATTGCATAATTTATACATAATTTTTTTAACATAAACAATCAATAATTAATGTAGTTAACACGAAACAATACAAATGAACTAGAAATTCAATAATTAACGTCTATCAAATTAAACCAAATTATAAGCTGAAACCTTTTTTTTTCATTTTGTTCCTTATAGACATTGAATATCATCACTAGTACACTAGTACGTACTTGAGTACGCGTAATATCTGAAGTGCACCAGTAAGCTTGATGTTAGGTTCACCGAAGAATATATATACAACGCTTTTTCTGTTCATGATAACAATATGAAAACTACTCTACTAAGAATATAAAAACACAAAATATATTATGATTCTTTAACTTGAGATTGTATTGTTCAATTCAACAATCATCAAGTTTAAAATAAAATATATACTTCAAACATATAACTTTATATATAGTTAATGTTATAATATAATAATGATATCATTAAATTTCCTTCAAGATCAAAATCTTTCAAAAATTAGATCAATCATTTCATATTATCATAATGACTCTGTTATGAAATAGAGCAGGTCAAACTTTTTGAGACCTTAAAGGTTTTCACAAGTAATCCCAGCGAACAGTACAATGCAATAATCAAACAGGAAAGATCCTTTTTTTGTTATAAACCTTTAATTAATAAACTTAGAATTAAAAAATTTACAATTTTTTTTTTTTCATAAATTTATCATCTTATTCATCACCGCGAATTGTGTGTGTAAATATTCAAGACCTATTGTCTTTGGGTGATTATGTCATGATGATGTAATCAAAGTTTATATTCTCTCAAGTTTATAAATTTACATCTATTTCTTCCAAAAGTTTAACTTATGGGTAATGTTGATGAATAAGGAATATATCCTAGTATAATAAATGTGGAATGGGTATGATCATGAAGAGAGGCTAAGATATCAAAGGATCGAAAATATCAGAAGAGAACGGGTCAAACAAGTCTGTCAAGTTAATGATCCTGTTCTCAATCTTAGTTTTGATATGATTAAAGAAGCTAATACCATTGATGGTGATTATACAAATTATGATTACACTTCTGAAGTAAGAGATATCTATGAATTATTCCAACTCTCATTTGGAGATAGACACCGTATACGTAACGGAAGCTTAAAACTCACATATGATGAAAGCATATACAATAAACTTTCATGGTTTAACATGTCAATGGCAAAACCTGAGTTATTGGCAAATCCAATATTAGATCCTAATAATTCATTCATAGAAAGTTTAATTAGTAAATCATTCGCAAATGAAAATGATCGGGAAATTTGTCGTCAGGATCCATATATTAGAGAATTCACAAATCCATCACAACCTTTAAGAAAAAATAAATTATTGGATTATCATAGAGATGTTGTCATATCAAATTGTTCTGAAATTCCTTTATACCAGATTTCTAAAGAATGTAATGAATATTCACTGCATTCTAATAAGGAGAAAGATGTTGTTGAAATTGGGGAACACATTTCATCACTTTGGTGTTATATTCGCAGCGCTAGATCTGATGTTGATAATTTCAATAGATCAAAATATTTCATTGAGAAAAACACAATCTTGAATGATAATTTCATGTCAATGAATGATAAATCTATTGAAACTCGAATTGAAGAATTAAACAGGGAAATTGATATTAATTTATCTCCATTATCAAGCTGCTATGATATATATCTGGAAATATTAAAAATTTGTGAAAAAGTTAATTTAACAATGCGTGAAGTGAACAAAAGTTTTGAATTCTTAAGCTTTTCTCCAAAAGATGTTGATCCAAGTAATTATGATCTATCCACTGAGAAGATAATTGATCCAAAATCATTTAATATAGATATTAAAGTGAGTTCTTCCAAAAAGGGAAATATCATGATGATTGAAACAACGAGGTATAAATATTTACAAAATGATTTTATTAGATTTATTAATTCCACTGTTAGGGAACAGGTTTCTTTAAAAGAATTTAAAGTTATTCGTAATTTAATTAAACAATCAGTTTTATATTGTAAACAATCAAATTCCACATTGGGTGTTATATCAAATTTATCAACAATGATTATTTTGGAATTAGATATTAATGGAAGTGAATTAATTAATTTTGATGAAGAAAAATTATTTGATCTTAAACTAAGATATAGAATGATAAATTTGGAAGATCAATACCTTACTATTAGATGGGCGTTTATTTATTTGTTTAAACAACTTGGTAAAGAAATCGATCCAAATGTTAAGGATGAACTAATGATTCAATTTCTTTGGAAGTTTCATATAAGTGATAATGAACGATTACAAGATAAAAAAGCAGTGAATGAGTCTAATAAATTTCCAAATATCATAAATGCTTCAATTGATAATTTTATAACAAAACCTTTACCCAAGATTTTCTCAAATGATATTCTCCACGAAGATTCAGAAGATGAATATAGGTATCATACTAAAGAATTAGTGGTTAAACATAGAAATGTTAAAAAGGAATTTGGTTATGAAATTGAAGGGATTCCATTAGATCAAGAAATGTTTCTAAAAGTATACGATATAAATTTACTAGTTAATAATAAATTTGAAGATGAAGTTCAATATGGTGCCTTTAGAAAAGAGGTTAAATCTCTTGAATTTATCAACAAGCATAATTCAAAATGTGAAAAAGAAGGATCAATAGATGCTATAATCAATGTACCAAAAATTTATAAACATTTTATAATAGACTTGACAGATTCCAAATCAACAGAGTTTTCTGAATTATTTGGATATGCCATATTAATGGAAAAAATTGATCATGTTGATATCAGTTTGAATCCTATAATTGAAGATACACCATATTTCCAAGATTTAGAAAGACAAGTATCAGTGATGGAGAACTCGGGAATCAAACATAATAATTTAGCAGAATTGGGGAACTTGGTTCTAGATATGGAGATGAAACCTTTCATATTAGATTGGGGGTTATCAGAGATTAATCAAGAATCTTGATATCTATATAGTTCTTTATATATCTAATCATATGACCTAGCTTTAAACTTGATCTAATTGTAATATTCCAAAGGGTGGAGCTTACAAAAACACCACCATTATAATCCTTACAACTTGCTCTATAAAATGAACCTACTTTCAAATGCAAAAGTTGTTCAATTGTTAGAAATAGGCTTAGTCATATCTTCGCGAGCTCACTTTTTTATTCACAGGAATTTTATAACAAAATGTTCTTGTTCGTAAAGAAACAATATGACGAATGATTATAGAACTTACTAGGAGATTATTCACTTTTTTGATTTGGTTAGATAAAATCAATTGATTGCACGTTGTGCCACTATTAGAGTTGTATTGTACTATTTATCTTGTTTGACATTTTTTAAATCCATGAGATGAATGAAGAGTTCTGTATGACACAGTTTGTCAAGGTGGACATGAAATCAAGAGCATCTTTCATAAATCTTTAGCATCATTGTATTCATTATTTTTATAATTATACAAACATAATATTAATACTATTATTACATATAATTGAATAAACACACAATATATGAATCTCATTAGTTTACTAATTCTTAACACGAATTGAAACTTTTGATAATATTCATATACATCATTTTTTCACACAAAAATACAATAGAAACAGATGTAGGATTAATACTATAAAAATCCACCATCACTTGATGCTATATTATGTTAGCTGAGTAATATCACCTGAAGATACATACAATAAGCTAAAATGAAACAATAACACTTAATGTAATTCTAGAATTGTTATATAATGAACTTTTTTTTTGTCCTTTGATTGTATGTCTCTCGCTAAAAAATTAGCAAAATATTCAAGCTAGCGATTATATATTTATATCGACAAACATCAGCTAAATTAAGTATTTACTGAAACATTTTGATGATCATCCAAATTAATCTTTCAAAAAATGATTGTGGATTTAAATTGACTCGCTTTGATCCCATTATATTATAAAATTGCGTATCGTTCGTTTCTGGTTAGGAAGGTGATATTTCTTATAAACTTAATAATAATCTACAGCTTTTAAAGTGATAATTTATAATTGTTATTTCAGTTGTTTGATTATAATTGAATAAACACAAAAATATGAATGCATCATAGTTTTCTAATTCTTAACCTGAGTTGAAACTATTGATAAGTTTATATATAAATTTTTAACTTAAACCCTCAACTTAAACAAATTTGTAGAATCTATACTTGAATAAACTATTAACTACGCCAAATATTTTGTTCAATAATGAAAACAACTATAATATTGATCAAAAAACACAAAATATATTGTAATTCTAAATTGAGATTGTATTGTTTAATTCAGCAGTCAACAAATTTAAAACAAAATATACTTCAACATATTATAGCTAGATATAGTTATTAAACTGATAACATTTTGATTATTTTCTTCAAGATCTAAGTCTCTCAAAAATTATCAATCAAATTATATCAAAATGTACTAATCTGTAATTAAGATATATTATGAACATAATCCAGATTGATATTTAAAAAGATCTGAAGAACTTTTTCAAGTTGGGATTTAATCTAAGTGTTTTTCATGCTTTCACTTATAATAAGTGTTTTTGAGTTTTTGCTATAAAGAGTTCTTCACTTTAGGTATTGAATTTATTATTATTATGTGTTGAGAGTTGATTAAGTATAAGAATCAATTAAATCTTTAGGAAAAGGGAATGATGAAAATTATACTTAGTCATCCTCGCGGAATTGAAATTTTTATTTCACCATATAAACAAACCAAACTTACCAATATTTTTTAATTATTTTCAATACCGTTTCCTTTGTTGTGGTTATTTAGATGATCATACAGGCTTCTTGTTAGTCCTGATGTTCTCTTTCTAGGCTTTTGTGCTATTAGCATTGTTTTAAAACATGATGAATGATTATTATGAGATGAAGTTTAAACACAATATTGCTAATTTGATTCTTTTTATCAAGGAATTCACCTAGTAATCCATATTCGTTATATAATGAAATAGTTTCAAGACTATCACAAATATGATTGAATATACATAAATATGAATAGTCGATGATTTACTAACTCTTAACCCGAGTTGAAATTATTGATAAAGTCATATACATATATTTTTATAACATAAGCAATAATAAATGTAGAGTCAACACAAAACTTAATACAAATGAACACAAAATTCAACACCTAACTATCAAATCAAAGCCAACTTGAAAACCCTATTTTTTTCATTTTGTTCCTTATAGACATTTATATATCGTCACTAGTACGTACTTGAGTACTTGAGTACTTGAGTACGCGTAATGGCACCAGTTGATGTTAGGTTTACTGACAAGTATATACAACTTGAAGATACACGTTTATTTAATTTAGAGAAAGTATATAGCATACTTCGGAGCTTTATAGATACCACGTATCAGTACAACGCTTTTTCTGTTCATGATAATGAAAACTACTATATTAATAACCAAAAAATACAAAATATATTATGATTATTTAACTTGAGATTGTATTGTTTAATTCAACAATCATCAAGTTTAAAATAATATATATGGTTTGACATATAAGTTTATATGTAGTTGACATGTTTTAATGATATCATTTCCTTCAAGATTAATTTATAAATCTTTTTAAAATTATCAATCATTTTATGTTTTTAAAAGGTTTCTGTTGTTCAATGTAAAAAGTCAATTAGATCTGGCCAGAACCTTTCGAGCAAGACTTGGTTAAGTATTCACTAGAAACACAAGTGAACAATATAACAGCTTGACCAAACAACAAAGATCATCTTTTGTTATAAACCTTTTTGTTATAAACTTGATAATTACAAGAAAAATTGATATCTTAAAAATCTGCTGCTTAGTCATCACCGCGAATTGTGATTTTTTTTTTTCTATTACTATAAAAATCAAAACAAAAAATTTCTAATTTTAACAAACAATTTACTTTATGTCAAGTATTAGAAGTTTTTGAACCATTTCATTGTTTTCAGTATTTTGGTATTAGACAATGATGTCGTTCATACATGGGCTAAAGTAAATTTAATACTCTCGAAGAAACTACAGCTTTTCAGGAAAAATGAAAGTTATCAAGGTACAAATTACAAAGTTTTTGTCTTATCTTTAATTGATTGGGATATATTTGATTCATTATATAACAAGATAGTTATGATACTATTACCATATAACTGAATAAACATACATATGAATGGCTCAATAGTTTACTAATTCTTAACACGAATTGAAATTATTGATAAGTTCATACATAATTTTTTCACAAGAAAATACAATATAGAAACAGATGTAGGCTTAATATAACTATAAAAATGAACAATCAATCTTTGAATATCAAAACATATTCCCTAGGTTATTTGAACGCAATATATTAATTACGAAATTCCAGATGAGCATGGGTTTACTAGCAAACTTCCCAGACTACTTAAAGATAATTAACGAAATCAATGCAACCATTCGATGGACCATAAGCTGTTTCAAAACCGATTTGTTCACATAATTAGAATTTAGAATTTAGTATATGCTCAGTCATATCTTCGCGACGCTCTGATCTTTTTCAATTACTAAAATTTTATCAACATGTTACATGATCATGTTTTCTTAGTGTTTTCTTTGTAATTTCAGAGAAATATTGGTGTTGAATGTTCCCTTTCGTACAGAAATATGACCACTAAGGCTTTGATATCGAACTCGTTTTGGAATTAATGGTATTTGCTTTTATTTTTTAACTTGACAGTTTCATGACAAAAATTTGATTATGCAATTTTCCAAACCCATAAAATTGATGAGTGATTCGTTTGAAGTAATCTTTGTTAAAGTAGACATAAGCTTAAGAGATTCTTCCATGGATTTTGTGAAAAATTTCATCATATTCATATTATATAACAGAATAGTTCTAAGACTAATATATATAATTGAATAAATACAAAAATATGAATGCATCATAGTTTACTAATTCTTAAACCGAGTTGAAACTATTGACCTAATTCATATATACATAATTTTTCATAAAAACAATAAATTAATGTAGGATTAGTCCATACAAAACTATATATACACAATTAAAACCTCTAGTATATATTAGCTGCTCAATATGTTAATATAATTAACCCCATTTAAAATTTGAGATACAAAAGATCAAGATGGTTATATGACATACGACGGCCCTATATATACAGATTTTCATGAATATTATATACATTCAAACAGATACATTTCATTATATAGAAATACATATTAAAAGTACTAGTACTACAGATTTTTATCTCGTATAAGTTTTTTTTTTGGTTCAATAATATTGAAAAACTACTATAATGATCAATAAACACAAAATATATCATATATTCTAAATTGAGATCATATTGTTTAATCCAACAATCATCAAATTTGAAATAAGATATATACTTTAAACATATAACTTTATATGTAGTTAATGTTATATAATGATTAATTTAACTACAAGACATTTAAAGTCTAAGTTTTAATCAACATATCATAATGTCCTTCCAGATTAATTAAGTCGGTTTGAAAGTTATCAATAATCCTTTTATTGCTTAAATATAATCATTCCCTCAAAATTCTTTTGCTTTATCAATCATATATTATTATCACAAAACTTTAATATTAATTGTAACACAGACGCAAATATAAAAGAATCCCAAAAATGAAGTCCTTTTGAGATATTATGAAATATTCACATCAAATCTAGCAGAACAATTCAATTCAAACATCAAGAACCTAAAACAATTTGCTGAATAAACTTGTAACAAAAAGTGTACGAAATTGAATCGAAAAGTTTTAAATTTATTTTTGAAAATTAAAATATGCTTAGTCATCATCGCGAATTGTGCAGTACTTTAAAACAAAACAAAACAAAAATTTTCTAATTTTACAATTTACTATGTTAATTATAATTTATGAGTATATAATAGCTTTTGTACCATTATGTTATTGTCCGAATATTGATAGTAAACAGTGATGTCTCTCGTATATGAGTTCATAATTAAACATTTGACAAATTTCCAAAATTTTGTGAGCACTGAGTATTGGGTAAAAGCTTTGAAATTTTTTTGTGTTTAAATCCATTGTCCACCTTTAATTGATGAATACAAATTTTAGATCATTCATTATATAAAAAGATAGTTATAATACTATCACCATATAACTGAATGAACATACTTATGAATATTTCAATAGTCTACTAATTCTTAACCTGAATTGAAACTATTGCAGACCTTCATATACATAATTTTTCAAAAAATCAATAAAAACGTAGGATTAAAACATAAAATACTATACAATAACTCTTTAACCACGTCCAAATAATCCAAAAAACCCTTTCTTCTTTTGTTCAGTTTGATCATTGGTTGTAGTTGTTTGAGGTTGTTGTTGAGTTTTAGGTTCATCTTGATCTGGATTATAAGAAATATAATTAAATGCAACATCAAATAAGACAGGTTTAACAGGGATACTAACAGGATTAAAATTGAAAACGGATTGATTATTAAATTTAAATAAATCATCTGATACCGCTTGAGAAGAATTTGATGAAGATTGAATTATTGAAAGGATATGGATTTTTTGATGTTGGGTTTTCAAATCATTGATAAGTTTAGATAATTCATCATTTCCTAAGAATTTAAAATCAATTGTGAATTGAGAGTCTTGTAATGAGCTCAAAGCTTTTGTTAATAATAATAAACCTTCTTTATATTTCTTCTCCTGAGTAAACTTATTAGAAATCAAATTAATTTTTAAAACTTTATAATAATTCCCCAAGATTTCTAAATTTTCCATTAATTCATCATCAGAATAAACACCTGGTAAATTTTTAATCTCATCAATTGTTGATAAATTCCCATCCAAGATTCTAAGAGTTTGTGCCTGGTTATTATTAATTAATGTATGATCTCTATGTAATCTAACAATTAAAAGATTATAATTTATATAAGATAATAAGATTTCATCATCTTGGTCTTCTGAATCTGGGTTTTTGGAGATGTAAGATAAATGATTTTCTAATGCAGATTGCCATTGATTTAAAACTGTATCAAAAGATTCTAAATTGATTAATTTTATTTTTTGGATTGATGAAATTAATTTTGATGTTAAATCATCATTTATCTGGGCCGTATAATTTCTCCAATTGATTGATTTGATTAAATCATCATCATTTGTTGGTTCTAAGAATGATGGATCTTGTTTATGGATCAATTTATAGATTAATGAATCATTGGTTTTTTCATTAATAATTTTTTTAGTAAATTCATTTAAATCAATTGAATTTAAGTTTTGAAATCTATAAATTGCTAATTTTAATGAATCATCAATTAATTCTTCAATAATATCTTTATATAAGATCTTGTTTTCTTGTTCACCATTTAATTCCAAGAATTTTAAACCAATTCTTGAATTTGAATAATTTTGAATAGCCTGGGACCAATTTTTGTTTAAAATTGAATAAAAACCTGAAATTAATTCATTATAAACTAAAATTTCCAATCTTTTGGTCAAATCTGATTCATCTTTACTAATTTTGACTAATAAATTACCATTTTGTTTTGATTTTTTCAATCTTGTCAAGATTAATTTTGTCTTGGATTTAATTGAATTGACATTATTATTTGAATTTAAATCCAAGAATGCTTTGAGTTCCAAAGCATAAAGATAATCTCTTTCCACTAACAAAAGGGATAACAAATAATATTTATTATCTGTTTGATAATCATCAATAGTTAATTCCCTTGGTTTATAATCTTTAGTATTTTTTGATTGAATTTTTAAATATCTTTTCAAATTATGAATTCTTCTTGTTATTTTAACTCTTTGTTTATGGAAATCTTGTGGAGTGGATAAGAATGCACTGTTTCTTTGCCCTATGGTAAGGGCTAATGGGCTTTCACTCATCTTTGACTTGGTTGATGGTTGTCAATAATAATAGTAATAATAGTAATATTGGTGATTTCAATTGTCCAATTTTTCAACGAGTATTAAAATTGACACAGTGTATGCGTAACCATTGCCTGATTGGGAAGAGTGGTAATAGACTGATAATAGTAATAGATCTAATAGTAAATATAGTAATATAATATAATATAATAGTTATTAAATTATAAAATAATCAGTTGTATTATCATTATTTTATTCCATGTTTTAATATTTGTTGATATTTCTGTGTTTTTATTATTCTCATTGTTTTAATTAAATTCGCTACGTGTGAAAAATAAATTATACTCAAAATCATCAATATTACCAATATTACACCAATTGACAACCACCCATGAGATCACAATGAACAACACACTCACTCTATTCATCTGCATCACAGGTATCTACACCTCCTTCATAACATGGGGTTACCTCCAGGAACAAATCACAATCCAAAAATTTGGACCAAATAATGAACAATTCCATGCTCCATTCATAATTAACTTGGTTCAAAATTTATTTGGTTTTATAGTTGGTTATATTTATTTATACTGGAAAACCAGTAATTCAACAATCAAAGTATCCATATTCAACAAGAATCTAATCAAATCATTGGTATTAATCTCTTTGACACAATCATTATCTTCGCCTATTGGACTAAGTTCAACAAATCATTTAGGTTATTTATTATATACTTTATCAAAAAGTTGTAAATTAATACCTGTTATGATTGTTCAATATGTGTTGTATCAAAAAAGGTTCCCTCGTTATAAATATTTGGTGGTGGGGATTGTTACTATAGGTGTTGTACTATTTACTCTAGGTTTACCATCCAAAAAAAATAGCTCAGATATTAATGGTAATTTATCAATTGGTTTACTATATATATTTATTTCATTATTATTAGATGGTTTAACAAATTCTTTACAAGATGATTTATTTAAAAAAAATCAAAATTTATCAGGTGCACATCTTATGACTGGTTTAAACCTAGTTTCATTTATTTTAACTTTGGGTTATACAACAATTTTATCAAATCAATTAAAATATTCAATTGATTTTATATCCCAGTATCCATCAATCCTAAAAGAAATTGTTCTTTATGCGGTTTGTGGTGCTTTAGGACAAATATTTATATTTATTACTTTGGAAAAATTTGGTTCTTTAATTTTAGTTACTATAACAGTTACAAGAAAAATGATTTCAATGTTATTAAGTGTCTTTTTATTTGGTCATGATTTGAATTTAAATCAATGGAGTGGGTTGTTTTTAGTATTTGGTGGGATTGGTTTAGAAGCTTATTTAAAATTGAATCAAAAAAAACAATCAACAATAACTACAGATACCAAGAAAGAAAAATAAAAAAAAAGTTTATTATAGATAGATATTATAGATTCTTATAACTCATTAATAAATGATTGTACTTGCTTTATCAAGACGTCAACACTCCCTTCTTTAGAACCTTCACCAATATTATGTGTAGCACCATCAATAACTAAACTATATTTTGACCAAACACCAGGTTTAGTAAAACTTTCCCATCTTTGTAAAACTTTCCCAATATCAACGCCATCAGGGAAGAATTGATCTTCACCAGAATAAAGAACCAAAGTAGGTTTATTCAATTTTCCAAAAGTTTCTTGTAATTTCTCATCACTTAAATCAGTTGAAAAATAATCATCATCCCCATTTTCCAAAGTTAATGATAACCATCTATAACTACTAATAGCACTAACACCAAACAAAAAATCACTAAACTTTTTAGGTAAAACAGCTTGTGGACCTTGTTTATCAAAAAATTCTTGAGCTTCTTTATTATATGAATCTAAATCTAATCCGTCTTCTTTAGAACTCTTAACAATAGCTTCACGATCACTAACAGGAGCTTGTAAAATAATCCCATCAATCCCTTGACCTTGGTTTTGTAAAGCATAATGAATTGAATCTTGAGTCCCAGTTGAATGACCAAACAAGACAACCTTTTGTTTTCCTAACCCATGTAAATAATCAACAAATTGTTTAATTTCTTTAATATCACGATCTAATGAACCTGTACCCCATCCTTGATATGAAGAACTGATTAATATTTGAAATAATGACCAATTGGTTGGTAAGGATTCATTTAATTTTGATAAATATGGGACAGTTAATAATCCATCACCAAGACCACCAATGAATATGATTGCATTATCTGTTGGATTAGGGGTAGTGGAATTAAATTCAAAAGCGACTAAGTTATCGTTGTATTTATGAAGTTTACCAGAGGACATTGTTTGATTGTGATTGTATTGTATTGTATTGTATAGTGTATAATTGAATTGAATTGAATTGGAATTCTTATCTTTATAAAACTATGGCTTTGATTTGACATTCTTAGATTATATAATTTAAAGGTGTGCAGATTATGTAATCATTATAATTAAATAATTTTTATTATACAACTATAAACCAAATAATGAATTGTGTTATATATAATATATATAATGTATAATATATATATAAATAAATAAATAATATAAATGAATAAACAATATAAATAAATAATTAATATATAATATAATTTTTGACTTATAATAAGTTCTTTTATAAATTTTTGAAGTAAATATAAAATTATTTAAGTCACTTAAATTTCCATAAAACAAAATTTGAATTTTCAAATATAAAACTCATCTAAACACTATGAAAATATAATCAAATTAAAATATTCAGCTACTATTGTATCATAAACCATTTAACAATCAATATTATTCAGTAAGACTTATAAAATGTAAGTATATAAAATTAATTATATATTACATAATCAGCAATGCACAGATTATATAACCAACTAATAACGAAGAACTTCAACAAACTTTTGTAAAAGGTTCTTGATTTGACATTGATTGAAACTTGATTGTGATTACATGCTTCTTTTATGAAGTGTAATTCATTACCATGGCCCATACCAGGAAGAGTGACATATACTTCCGAATGTTGTGCTGATCTATGAAATCATTGCTACTGTTTTATAATGATTTACAACAGATTAATTGAACAAGTTGACAAAAGGACAAGGATTATTTTATTATAAATATTGTTAAATCTCCACAAATTTCAATTGACTTCATATGTAAAATTATATCGTCGAAAGAGAACAAAACAATTCAGATAACAATATGTCTATTACAATTAGTGGTGCTAAACAATTTTTAGAAGTTTTTCAAGAGAATCATAAATCTATGTATGTGAACTTTAAGTTTGGTAATGATGATCCTAAATTCAGAGAACAAAATGATTATTTTGAAAAGATAGCTGATAAATATTATAATTCTGAAAAATTTGATGGAAAAATTGATTTATATAAATTAAACCTTAATGAATTTCATGACATAGAAGAAGTTAAGGTTTTACTTAGAAAAGAACGTTTTGAACTATATTATTCTGCATTTATTGGTTATTATTATAATGGAAGTTTGTGTGGTTTTGTTAGAACAGATCAAAAAAAACAAGTTGAAGATTTTTTGGAAGATGTTGATAATGATTATTAGTTAACTTTTAATTTTAATTAAACAATCATGATATGTACAAATTCATTCAAAAGTAAAATAAATGAATATATATGATTACGATAAAACTTTTGTAATTGATGGCCATATGATTAAATCTATATATATTTAGTACAATCAATTGATTATAATAATAATATAAATAACTATATAATGTTCAATTCTATGATTCATGATATGATATTCGTAAAAACATCAAACAACCTCAAAATTTTGAAATTTCAATTGTTTGACGTTGAAGAATTATTTTCAGCTCGTCATGATATATAGATCTATACTGATCTTGGTGAAAATAGTTGTATGGCTAAAGCTGAGGGTACTAATGTATAATTATAATCTATCATAATGGCCAGATAAGAGGGAAATGTTCTCCTATTTATAGTAAATATAACACTATACTTACGCAGGGGTAACAAGAAAGGCTAACTAGTAGATCTAAACATAGGATGCACATTGTACATTGCAATGCATAAATGCCACATCGTTAATTCAACATTCCAACCGTCGTGGAAGTTTTGAGTTTTGAGGTACTCCAATAAATAATTATTTCAAAGATTTTTCATTCATTGTTTGAAAATAATTGTATAGAAAAACTAAACAACAAGTTTCTTATCTATTTATTACCGTATTATTGAAATACACAAAACAAGTAAAAATGATTAAGAAAACAAGGTAAAGCTGGTAATCAAGATGACGTATGATAGTACATGTGTATTTAGATCATTGCTACTTATGTTTGATGTAAGATGCAAGATTTATAATGATTTACAATAGAAGCATGGACAAGATATTTTATTATAAATACCCTGTTGAATCTCCACATAAATCAATTGATCATTTTTCATCACCAGAGAACAAAACCATATACCTTGATACAATATGTCTAAAACAATTGAGGATTCTGAACAATTTGTAGAGGTTTTCCAAAACAATGATAGTTTCATGTATATAAATTTCATTTATGATATTGATGATCTTGAATTAAAAGAACAAAATGATTATTTTGAAGAGATAGCTGCAAAATATTATAATAATCCAAATGCTTGTGATCAAAAATTTGATTTTTTTAAAGTGAACCTCACAGGTGAAATTTATCAACATTCACAAGATGTTCGTGATATATTTTTTAAAAATTATGGTACTCAGGATATATATGGTGATCCATTTATTGGTTTTTATATAAAAGACAATTTGTATGGTCTTGTTAAAACACATAAGAAAGATCAAGTTAAAGATTTATTTGAAGAAATTGAAAATAAATATTAATTAATATTACAGCTTCTACTTATAAATTTAAACAATCATATGGTATATTGAAGCTGAATATCTATAAAAATCCATTCAATATTATACAAATGAATATATGATTATGATGATTTCTTTCTGCTGTATATATGACTATAAAATATGTGATCCTTTTATCATAACGATTATGATCCATAAGTAATGTTCAAATGACTATATTAATTAATCACGATATTATGATGATCGAGTAATACAACAGAGAGTACCTAATGCCCCGGTGACCAATGTATATGAATAATTAATGGAAAAGTTTTTACAATGATCTACAATAGAAAAGGAACAAGGATAAAAATTTAAAATTGTATAAATATTGAAATAAATCTCTTAATTTCGTACTTCCTTTACATCCAAACTTTCATTTCCCAAAAAAAAAGACACATTCAAATTAACTATCAAAGGTACCATTCAGATACAATCATGTCTATTGTAATCAATACAGAAGAAGAACTTCAAAATGTTCTAGATCAACCTGAGTTAGTTATTCAAATAATTTTCATCAATCCAGAAAGACATCCAAACACAGAAGAGAAAAATGAAGATTTTGAAAGAATAGCTGCTAGTTATGGACCAGATCATTATCATCATAGGTTTTATAAAGTATATACAGATAGTGGGATTTATCCTGGTGATGCGCTTCTTTATTTACATCATCATAAAAGGAACTTTTTTGATCAATATGATATATATCTTGCTGTTTTCCAAAATAGAAAAGTAATTACTCTTGCAGATATTGATGGAGGTGATATGCTACATGGTCAATGAATTATTGATAAAATTGAGGTTGGTGCTTTATGACTATTTGGTACGTACCTAATTTTTCAAAAAATAGTGTATATCAATAATTTGCATAATCACTTTAGTATTATGATTACTACTTATGTACTATGTAGTATGTACTGAAAATTATAGATAATTCAAATTTCACGATCTACGAAGTATAATTAAATATGAATTAGATCATGGATGTAAATATAAATATTGAATTAATTCTTTTAATTTCATACATTCTTCAATTAACATTCTTAAAAGGACTCATTTGGATCTAATAACAGAACAATTTAAGTACCACCATGTCTATTACAATCGATACAGAAGAAGAACTCAAAGATATTTTAACTAAGAGCTGTAATAGAACAACTATTCATATAAATTTCATCAATCTAGAAGCACATCCAAACACAGAAAAAAAAAATGAAGCTTTCGAAAAAATCGCTGCTGCTTATAATGAAGAACCAGATAATGATATAAAGTGGTATAAAGTAATATATTCAGAAAGTGGGCTTACAGCAGGACATGCAATGGAACTTGTAACTTTCCCGAGAGGGAAATATGTTCACTATTTGGATGTACAACATGGTATTTTCCGTGATGGAACAGCACTGTATCTTAAAGATTTTAATGGAGAAGACTTGATAAAAGTTAATAGATATTGAATTTTTGATGATTGAGGTTGAACAATTATGGTATTTATATATGTTGTAGCCCTATATATTGTATATCAATAATTCATAGTTAAATTACTCTATTATATTATAATGACTAGTAGTTTGCATGAAATTATTAAACTTAAACAATATATTTCAGTTTTCATGTACATCTGATTACAATATTGTATTGAATCCTTTATAGATTCAAATCCCAGCAGAAAGGATTGATTTATTGTCTTCAAGAATAACTGCTTCGTATAGACAGCTTAACAATTGATCGTAACATTAATGATGAATAAAAACAATGCCAAAGCTTCTCTTAGGCTATTACAATTCATAGAAATACCACAATGACATGTAATATATCTTATATTTCCATAATTTAAGCCCTTAGTACTTACACATGTAACAATAAAGAAACGAAGCTAAAACGTTAAAACTAATCATAAAAAAGCATGGACCTCAAAATGCAGAACAAGGTGTGCATTATATAATCAAACAAGTTACATGTGTATGCATGAAAGAGTAAATAAATAGTTCAGTTAAATATAATGAAAATATCGATCATCTTGAAATTAGTTGTTCACGAATCACTAGTGTTCACTATTTGCTCAGCACAAAAATTAATGGTCATGGATCATGAAACGGATGAGGCAGTCTTCTCATGCAATAGATTCAGGAAGCTTTTCAAAATTGTATAGCAGATCTATAAATTATAAATGACTCTATCATGCATGATCGACAATAGAAAGTGAGCGTGTAGTTACTACACGCTTGTTTGTATCTTATATATAAATAGTTTATTAAATATCCTAATTTCGATTAATATATTTTAAAGTTGTACTAGCTGTCTTCCAAAACTCACTTCAATTAAGAACAATTAATTAAACGAAAATATTAAGCAAAACCATTAACCATCAACACAATATGTCTACTGTAATTGAAGAACTTCAACAACTTTATTATGCTTTAGACAACAGTTCTCGTCGAATTGTTAACATAATTTTCATTGATCCTGAAAATCATCCAGATACACAAGAACGAGATGAAGAATATGAAAAAGTTGCAGAAAATTATTATCAAGAAAATAATCAAGATTTTTATAGAGTTTATCCTGGTGAAAGTGGAGTTACACCAAAACATGCACTTGATTATGTGAATTATACTAAAGAGGTTAACTATAATGATATATATTTTGCTACTTTTTATGATAAGAGATTGCAAGGTCTTGAAGATAGTGAAGAAGAAAATTTGTATGACTATGGTCATTGATTATGAATGATTAATAATGTATATAGTATGTTAATTCATTATATATTATATTGTTACATATCCTAGTGTATGATCTTTTATACGAACAATTTATCTTAGATTACTTGAGATTAATATATATTTCAACATACCCCCACAGTTAATAAAACTAATTTTCAAATACTCACTAATATGAGTACCCAATGAAATATTTTTTTCTTAGACAAGAGGAAATAGCGAGATCAATAATTCTTGAGCTGAAACTTCAATGAGTTAGTAGATGGGTGAAAGATCTTTGTAAATACACTGTGCTAAAATTCTGTATTTGGATTTAACAATTTAACATATATTCTTGAAAATTTTGGCAAAGGTTATTTTGCCATTCTTTCCCAGGTGAAATGATACTCAATATATTTTGACGTGTAAATATAGTGAATCTTTGTTTTCAATAGTTGATATCTAACCTGAGTAAATTTGTTGGATTGGGTTGGATCTTTGATCTCATTGCCTTAAAATTGGTGCTTGAACTGGTCAAGTGGTCAAGGTTGAAACGCTGAAGAGCTCACAATAAACCAAATTTTTGAGTTTGATGATTAAATGAGCACATCCAGAAATTTTCCTAATCTAATTCTAGTATCCTTTTGGTTAATATTTTATTTATAAAACTTAAAAAACATTGGTGTTTCGTCTGGTGTGAGAAAAGGTTCTTGATCCTCTGGTATATTAATATGATTTTGCAATTTAATATGACTAATATCTTACTAATCAAACCAGATTATATAATCCTTACGTAATAGTCATAACAAAATCATAAAATCTATAAACTTTTGAATTAAAAGTATTATAAGTAAAGATACTCAAGGGATAATGAATCATGATTGTGATTACATGTTATTTTCATGAGGTGTAATCATGATATATAACATGAAATTAAACATATACTTACAAGTTACGATCAAATGTTGATCTATGAAATCATTGCTACTGTTTTATAATGATTTACATTAGATCAAGTTGACAAGAGGACAAAAATTTTATTATAAATTTTGTTGAATCCCCACATAAATTTCAATTTACTTCAATTCATATCATCTCTAAAGGATCATAAATCACAAATCACAATAAAAGAAGCTAAACAAATTACAATATGTCTACTTTGATTAAAACTTTTGAAGAATATGAAAAAATTATAGAAGAAGTTGATGGAGAAATTTACATAAATTTTATTTATAACGACCTTTATGGAAAAGAAAAAGAACTAGGTGAAAGATTTGAGAAATTTGCTGCTGAATATTCCAATTCAGATGACATTTCATGTTATAGAGCATATCTTGGTGATTTTAAACCTTTTGGATATGATTGGGGTTCTGTTCCGGTTTCATCACAACTTGGTAATGTAAACATAAATGAATCATCTCTAATTGCTACTTATGTTGATCATGGTGTTCGTTTGGTCTATAAGACAAGTTGTGACGATGAAATTGAAGATTTTTTTAATCAATGTGGTTAAGCTGTATGAAACAATAATTATATCAAATTGAAGAAAATTTTATATACAGCTGCTTTATACAAAATTATATATAAATGAATATGAGAATCAAATCTTTTGACGTATATTATTAGTGAATGTTCATGTATGATAATTTTATATGTAGTACAATCAATTGATCATAATCATAATATAATTCATTATATAATGTTTAATGCTATATAATTGATGATTTTCGTAAAAAATCAAATATAACCTCAAAATTTTGAAATTTCAATTGTTTGTTGAAATATTTCCAGCTCATGGTGGATTGTAGATCTATACTGATCTTGGTGAAAATATGTACTAAAACTGGGGTACTAATGTATAATTATTATAACTTTGAATGATCAGAAACGGTTGTTATAAGGGAATACATTGACTAATATTATGGATTGGAAAAATCATTTTGGTATGGTATAAGTGTTATGAAAATGTGTCTAATCATAAACGATCATGATTACCTGGAGCTTTAATGTTTCTTTCATGACGTATGACGTATGGTGTTCGGCCTTTTCCCATAACGTCCAATGATGAAGTGATGAAGTTTTGTTAAAATCAAGTGTAAATCTATTGCTACTTTATATTTTAATGATCTGCAATAGAAAATGAACAAGGATTAAAATTGTATAAATATTGAATTAAATAACTTATTATATAAATATCCATATTCAATTTATCAATTTTGAAAGATTCTCAAGCAAATATAATTATAGAGAGGAAAATTAGCACAATCAAACAACGTCTGGTTTACAAAATGTCTACTTTAATCAACAATAGGGAAGAACTTGAAAAAATCTTAAAAGATTCCACTCTTAGAATAAGTGGAATGAATGCTCCCACAATATACATCAATGTTATTGATACTGATTATGATAATTCAATAGAACAAAATGAGTATTTTGAAGAAATAGCTCTAGAAAGTACACAAAATAAAAGACGTAAAAAGTTTTACAGAGCATTAAAAGATGATATTCAAGATGTTGAAGAGATTTTTGATGAAATTATTTATAAAAGTGAAGATCAACAACCTTATAATCATTTTGAAGAAGTTAAAATGGATCCTAATTTGAAAGGAAAAATGACGATATTACCGTTTATTGTTGAAGTTTATGATAAAAAAATATATGGGTGTGCCTTAACAACTAGTGAAAAACAAGTTGAAAGAATGTTCACCACAAGAAGTGGTAAAACCCCAACAAGTGGTAAATGTTACTGAGAATAACATGGTATCAAAGTTTATAGGTGTTATTATAAACAATTATATATAATTATTAACATTTAAATTTGATTTTAATTTTGATTTATACCTGTGTAAATTATCTCAGCGGCTAATTTTTCATTCATGATATAAATAGTTCAAGAGATTCCCAAAATTTCAAATTTTCAAAATTCAATTATAAGTTGAACAAATTCCAAAATCAAGAATAGATACGGAAATCATGAACTCAATTTAGAATTTGATGTAATTATTGTTTCTAATATAAATGTTAAAGACTTTCACCAATATTTGGGTTTAACAGCTGGTCGATTGATTCATAATTTGTACCATTTGAGCAGTCTTTGCATATGTGCTTTACCATTTGATCAATCAATTTCAAATTATAGATAGTATTTTTGAATACCTCAATTTGAAGATATATAGATTGAATAAATTTTGATATCATATAATGATATTGAACTCATTATTGATTGATATTGATTCATATTTTACATATTCATTTTGTAGAATCAATCTAATATATTTCAACAGTTGAAATGACTTGATACTAACTTACTTGATAATGATTATAGAAGATAACCGCTGTGTATAAACAACTCTACAATTAATTAGATCATAATCATTTGAAAAAGAATAAGATATTGTATATTATAAATTCATTTTAAATAACAACATCACTTAATTAAATCTTTCAATAAATCATATAATTATAGGTAATTTATAGCTCCAATATATTATACAAATGAAAGGATATGTAATTTAATGAATATACCAAATTCAAGATTTTTGAAACATTAGAAAAAATAACATTCAGCCTGGAATTGACATTAGTAACTAAAGTAGGATTGAAATTAATGGAACTAGAATATAAATTTGAAGAATTAAGCTGAGTCTAGGAAATTCTTGAACTTTTATATTTGAAAATTAGCCGCTGTGTTGAAACTACAATAAAACAATCCACAAACAAAAACGTCATAATCAATCTGATTCTCATTTTAATAACAGAATGAAGCAATCAATCATATTCTTATGACTTGTATATTCTAAGTTATTCATGATTAATCTACTCAAACAATTATCATTAAATAAATAGTAAAGAACAATCAATTGAATAACTATAGGTTATTGTAACCATCTGAGGTCAAGAAATTTAAAAAAAATAACCAAAAGGATGTTCTGTAGCACTGCAAAAACACTTCATAAATGTTATCCTTGATGAGAAAAGTATTTCAGAATTACTGATATTGTACAATTAATTTTTTGAATTTTTTAAAAAGCTGGGAAATTTTTGAGTTTATATATGAAAAACTCAATAAGAAAATTATTAAAAAATTAGTCGACGTGGTCTGATCATTAGTAAAGTAGCTTAATGAGATAACTAAAGAGTGTTCCTTATAGATCTAAATTACAATGAAGATATTGAACAACTACAATTGAAAACACATCAATTGATTAAAAGTAGTTCAGAATCATTACAAGTCTTATCGATCATTCTTCAATCTAACCAAATGATATGAATAAAACTATACGATTCCAATCATGTATAATACTTATATATCATTAACTAATGATCCTTATAACTCTTTTAAGGCTATTAGCATGCAACAAGTATACAATAATGTATTTTTCTTACAATTACCAAAAAGCAATTAATAAAATGTGTAATCAATACTTCAAGAACATATTTGTAAAACCAATAAGCATTAAGCTGAAGAAACAAAAATCGACTTTTGAAAATTACGTTTAAAAAAGTGGATTTTGAAAAGTATTTATATTTTTCAATGCAGATGGCAGCTTAATTTAATTAATTTGTGGAGATCGGAATCTCGGAGCTAAATTTATGAGATCCCGATCCGGATAAAGATAAGATCAATGAACAACTTATTTAAATAAACTACATGAAAACAATGGAAAAACATTTAGACATGTATATAGAAATAGTAGATCACTATAATTTCAAATGAATCAAATACAATATTCATAACATGTCTTGTGGGCAATACGTCTAAGCTGATTAAAATAACTTCGACATTATTGAAAAATCTCCATGTAAGTAAAATAGCCTTTATGAAATCAAACACAGAATCATAGAATACAATTGGGTGAAATAGTAGTAACAACCGTTAATCCAAAAGAATTGCCAGAGTCACTAGACATAGTCTGGTATCAGGAATTCGGGCAAAAGGTTAAAGCATCAACAAAAATCACATATGAAGTGGAACCCTTGAAGAGAACTGATGTTTGGTTACAAGGTGTTTTAAAAAGTAAACAGTTTTTTTTTAATCAACGTCAAATCAAATTATATAATCATTACATAATACTAGTAACTTATAAAATCTATAAAGTTTTGAATTAAAGGTGTTATACGTAGATACTCAAGGGATAATGAATCATGATTCAGATTACATGTTTTTTTGATGATGTATGGCTATCGGCCTTTTCCATAACGTCCAATGATGAAAGCGAAGAAGTTTGTCAAAATCAAGTGTAAATCTATAAAATCATTGCTACATCATATTTTTATGATCTACAATAGAGAATGAACAAGGATAATTTTTTTAGCTTATATGTCTGTGTTATAAATATCGAGTGTTATTCCTCTTTAAGAGTTCATGATACTATTATATTAAGCTAAAGGGTTTAAATAAATCAAGGCAAAAAACCACCAAAGCACCATCATGTCCACTGAGCTCAATAACATGGATGAGTTTAGGGAAGCTTTAAGGGATCTAAGTGTTACATATGTTTTCGTAAATTTCATTGGTAATACTGATAAATATCCTAAATCACAAAAACAAAATGAAAAATATGAAGAAATAGCAGTTGAATGTGAATCAGAAAAAGATCGGAAATTTTATAAGGCGTATCTTGATAATTATGAAATTCGTCCTGAACCTTATGTATCTTATAGAATGGGTGATTGGGATGAAGTTTACGTTGTTGGTTTTCATACTGATAATGAGGAAGCAGTTCTTTATGCTAATACTGAAGATGAAGAAGCATTTGATCAACTTTTTTGTTATCATGCATAAGAGATATTTATAACCAGTGTATCAAATTGGATATAAATTAATTATTATTATATATAATATACTACTTTTGAATCAATACAAATTATTTCAAAAATCTGTCTCAATTATGTAGCATGGAAATATACAAGTTTGTACCTATTCTATAGTATTCTTGAACTTGAACAACTATAATATTACTAGTCAACTAGAGTCAAGACCAGTTTTTGTTAGGGGGCCTGTAATCTCCGTAATCTGGTTGTCAAAATTTGGAAAAAAAATAATTCTGCAACCATATTCACACAATGGAATGCAATTGAATATCCATTCATTCACTATCTGCTACTCAAGAAATCACAACATCATCCATACTAACTGCTTACCATGTCATCACAATCGCTAGGCTCAAGAATCATACATTCATTAATTGTTTTTGTATTACTTCCATATAGTATAGGTGGATTCCTTGCAGTATCAATTATTAAACCAGATACAATTTCAAATATATCATATAGGTCAAAAGCTAACAAAATGTTATGGTATGGATCTATTTTGGTGAAATTTATACATGTTGCTACATATTTAACTATTTTATATAAAAAATGGGATTATTTTAATTCAAGGAAAGAAATCTTTTATGATTGTTTAGGTCCATTAGGGTATGAGTTTTCAGGGGCTTTGGTATTGATACATCTGTCTTATGAATATTTGAAAAAACGTGATATTGCTTTACAAAAGAATGAATTAGTGTTTACAGACAGTCACAGACCATGATGTCATGTTTTCGGTACAAGAGCTCAATTGTCTTTTGCTGATACTGAAAATAAGAATAAAGTTAAACGAATTACTTGAAGAACACAATTTACTGAGTTTCTTATAAGATTAAATTACTACACCTGAAGTCAAATAATAAATGTATCAAATCAGAGATCTATACAATCCATTTTTTCATACAAATGAATATGATAACAAACCTTTTTAAATATGATGTTTGTGATTAAATATTTATATATAATTTAATGTATAATCATGATTGTTAATACTATAATAAATCACTGATAATATAACATGAAATTGAAAAGACAGTTTTAGTCGATATTGGGAAAAATTTGGTTGAAATGGGGTACCATCATACAAAAGTTAGTACAAAGGTCCAGTTGTAATGATAAAAGTATATAGTTAAATCTGAAATTGAAAATAAAAAAAAAGGAAATTTGGATCCTTTATATAATTATAATGAAAACTCAGCGGCTAATTGGATACCACAAAAAGGTGATATAAACTAATTGAATAAAACAAAGACATTAACCGCTGTATATGATATAGATCTCTACAATTGACAATGGAACCAAATAAAAAGAATAAGTCGGTATTGTATATTATAATCCATGTGTATTTAATAACAACATCACTTGATTAAATCAATTTCAATGAATCATATAATATATAGGTAATTTTTATAAATCCAATATAATATAAATGAAACAATGTGATTTTATGAAAATAGTTGGTTTATTTGGCTTTAACCACCCAACCAGCAAACAACACCAATGAAGGAACAGAACTTTCGATTGATTAATTGAGCTATAGTTGGAAATTTTTTAAAAAAGTGGGAATTTCCTTGTACTTTTGTATTGGAAAATTAGCCGCTGTATTAAAACTACAATTAACTATACTTTAAAGAACAAAAACGTCATAAACATTCTGATTCTCATTTGTATACAATGAAGTAACCAATGTATTCTTATGACTTGTATATTCTAAGTTATTCATAATAATATCCATTAACAAATCATAAAAGAAATAGTAAGAAACCATCAATTGAATAACTATAGTTCATTGTAACCATCTAAAGTATTTTGTTACTAAAACGAAGTCTCAATTACAGTCTGAAATTCTTCCCAATATTACTTTACTGAATACAGTTTTGCAAGAGACAATAATGTTATTACCATTCTTGAGGCTTGATTTCCTCCCATATTAAGAGTTTTCAAGAAATATACAAATTGAATTTTTAAAAAGGGGAAATTTTGAGTTTATATATGAAAAATTAAGTGACGCGATCTAAGAAAGATTGAGTCTGATTATATAATCATTACGTAATATAAATAACTTCAAAAATATAAACTTTTAAATTAAAAGTGGTATAGAGACTCAAAGGATAATGAATCATGATTGAGATTACCTGTTTCTTTAATGAGGTGTAATTATAATGTGAAGCTCATTTAAAGTGACATATACTTACGATCAAACGTTGATCTATGAAATCATTGCTACGTACTGTTTTATAATGATTTACAATAGATCAAATTGACAAGAGGACAAGGATTATTTTATGTATAAATATTAATCAATATCCACAAATGTCAATTCATCATTAACTCAAAGGATTTAATCATTATAGTCAAAGGATATCATAAAACCATTAACAATGTCCACTACAATTCATGATGCTCAACAATTTTTACAAATTTTCCAATTCAATGATTATTTAATGTATATAAATTTCAAGTTTTCTGATGATGATCCTGAATTAAAAGAACAAAATGACTTTTTTGAAGAAATAGCTACTAAATATAATGGTCCCAAAATTGCATTTTATAATATAAATTTTAATGATGTTAAAGATACACACAATATTCAAAGAAGATTTACTGAAACTCCGAAAGAATTATATGATGATCCATTTATTGCAATTTATTCTAAATATACTTATAGAGGTGCTATTAAAACACATAATAAAGATCATGTCAAAAATTTATTTAACGATATTGACTATAAACTATCGTATCTATAAATTTGACTAAATTCAAAAATCAAATGGCATATAAAAACTGGAAATCTATATACAAATTAATTGAATTGAATTATATCATATATAAATGGGAATATAAAACTAGTTATATGATGGTTATCAAATTTTATTTTGTTAATCGTAAAAGGTCAGCTCTGATCATGGTAGAAATATATCTCAAAGCTGGGGAACTGATCATGTAATTATAACAAAAGAAAAGATCCTAAAACGTTTGCCATAAGTTCAATATATAATCCATTGAGTAATCTATTGAATTGTAAAAGACTATTAAATATATCAGTAGTATAATGTTACCGTAAAAAAGGTGTTATATTTATAATTGAATATTGAGCTTCGATGTTTTTGTCATGACGTACGGCTATCGGCCTTTTCCATAACGTCCAATGATGAAGCGATGGAGCTTGTCAAAAACAAGTGTAAATCTATAAGATCGTTGCTACGTCAGTTTTTGAACGATCGACAATAGCATTAAGTGGACAAGGATCATTTTAGATCAATTTAGAATTGTATAAATATTGAGTCAAATCACTCTAGAAGTCCATGATACTATTTATATATGTAACTAAAGAGCCTCAATTGAATTAAGGTTATAAAAGATATCAAATTAAGCTAAAAACACACCATCATGTCTACTCTCATTAGAAGTAAGAGACAACTTGAAGAAAGTTTAGATTCAACTAATTATGTTGGAATAATTTTTATTGATGAAGAAAATTATCCTAATTCCAAAAAACAAAATGAAAAACATGAAAAAAAAGTTATTGAAAATGGTCGTGGTTGTGATTGTTATAAAATATATATTCAAAAACCTGGTGATATTGATGTACGTGGTTTTATAACTCATCATAGAGATGGTGAAAAAGTTGATAATGTTTTTTATGCTGGTTTTCTTGATGGTGAATTAATTCATTATGTTAATACTGAAGATGAAGAAGGATTTGACAATCTGTAAGATATCTTTAGTGAGATCAATAGTTTACATAAAATCAATTTATTGAATTAAGAATCTTCCTCAATTGAAAGCGTAGTATACCTGTAAAAGTAAGCGCTTTCTTTTCCATAATTTAAATCAATATATGTTAGCACCCTTATAATCCAACCATATAATGATCTCTGTAAAGATGTGTTAACTAATATCTCACAATAATCAAACGTTATGCCTTAATCAAATATAAATTATATCTCTTAATATTGTTGATTATTCTTCTTTCAATCTCTCATGAATTAGATTCAGGCCTCAGGCTCTCAATTCTCCAATAGTTAAAAAACCTCAAGGACCATCACTTTTCAATGAATTTATTCATGGAATCTACTAATAGCTTTGAAATAATTTGTTTGTAGCAATATTAACGACGAAGAAAATAAAGCAAAACACTCTCAGCTAATTAAATATCAAGGTGATTCTTGGTGAGATTATATGGGACCTCAAAATACAATTTTCATTAAGGATTATATAATCAGACAAAATTCTATAATTACAAAAAAAGTTTTGAATAGAAGTACGTTTGCTAAGTAGTACAAGTAATACTTTATGATTGAGCTTAATTTGTTTCTTTTATGAATCATTTTTCTTCATTTTTCAAAGATTAATTACTGTTCAACAACATGAAAAATCTTAGATCATTGCATCATTGCTAATTTATTTTATATGATCGACAATGAAAATTGAACAAGGAAATTATAAAATCATATAAATATGTTTGATCTCTCTATAAATCAGTCATTTTAACTTTTTATTTCCAAAGGATTGAATTAAAGTCAAAAACCCACACCGTTTAGATAACAATGTCTACCCAACTCAATGATGTTGAAGAGGTTCAAGAAGCTTTAGAAGCTCACAATGGTTCCATTGTTCACATAAATTTCATCGATGAAGGTGATACTGCTTCAAGGGAACAAAATGAATATTTTGAAAAAATAGCTTCTAAGGCTAAGTCCAATAATTTCGGTGGATATTTTTATAAAGTATTTCTTCGTGATGTTCCAAATGTTAAAGAGTATTTAAGGGTATCTCCTCTTGAATATCAAGATTCATATGAACCATTTATCTCTATATTTCATCAAACAAGATTGATTGGTTTTGCTGAAACAACTGATAAAAATAAAGTTGAAGAGTTACTAGAAAGTCTCAATTAATATATGAAGTAAATTAGATACTACTAGTTGAAATTAAAACAATTATATCAAATTAGGGATCTATACAAATCATTCAAAATTATTAAATAAATGAATTGTATGATACGTCTAAAACTATCTTGTTATATTGTAATTTTCTTATATAAATTTTCATGATTATCAGCTATATGTAATCAATTCACTATATTATAATTATAACAAATCATATAAGTTCAAGAGAAGAGTATATAAAATTAGTGTTTTAAAGAAATAATCAGTTTCAAAAGAACCTAATTAACTGAAACGCTTAGCTTAATATCATCAGTTCCTAATCCTTTGTATATGATAATTTTGGAAACCTGCTCAGCGCTGAGCAGTTAATTGGACACCACAAAAAGGTGATACTTTAATTGACTAAGTAATATAACTAAAACAACCGCTGTGTTTGATACAACTCTACAATTGATTAGATTACAATCATAAGATCAAAAGAATAAGATATTGTATATTATAATCCATGTGTAATTAATAACAACATCAATGAATTGGAATCTCATAACGAATCATATATTAAGCTGGTGATTAGCTCCACTATAATATAAATGAAACGAATAGATTTTATGAATATATAATTTGATTTCGAAATTAAAGAAAAAAGCATAATAAATCCAACCATGTAATCTTATTGGTAATGATATAAAAAAAGACGTAATTGCAATTTTAAATATTAATATTAATAATTGATAGAAATAAGATCAAAATGATTTGAAATTAATCGTTTAAAGTGGGAATTTCTTGATTTTTATATTTAAAAATTAGCCGCTGTGTTAAAACTACAATAAAACAATCCACAAACAAAAATGTCATAAACAATCTGATTCTCATTCAAATAAACAAATGAAGTAATCAATGTATTCTTATGACTTGTATATTGTAAGTTATTCATGATAATATCCAAGCAAACCATCAAAGAAATACGTAAAGAACAATCAATTGAATAACTATAGTTCATCGTAATTGATGTAACAAGCTAATTGATATATTAGACAAGAGTGATTAGAGGCCTCCAGAAAGTTAGCAATTAAACTTTTCAACATGAAGAGCTTAGAATTTGAAACAAAATCATGTTATAAACACAAATTAGAACATTCTTAACGATCTAGATTTCTTTTAAAAGTTTTAATTTGAGAATGTATATATTGGTTTTTTTAAAATTAGGGGGGAATTTTGAGTTTATATATGAAAATTAGTAAAGAAAAAGCTGAAAAGGCAGGTGGATCATTAGTAATGACGTAGCTGCAGCTTAAGTAGAGAACTAAACAATGATCCAGCTTATAGATCCAGATTACGATGAAGGTATGAAACAACTACAATCATGAAAACATATCAATTTTTAAAGGTAATTCAAAATCATTACAAGTCTTATCAATCATCTTGTTCAAACAATATAGATAAAACTTAATGATTCTAATCATGTATAATACCTCTATATCATAAAATAATCCTTATAACTCTTGAATTAATCCATATCAATAGGGTTCATGTACTTGAGTTCATGTAAATACTCACTAATTAGTATAACTAACCAACAAATTGAACCTGCAACTAAACACTGATAATGTAAGATGAACCAAATATTCAATAACAGTAAAGAAGTGAAAACAGTATCAAAACACACTTTTCTTTCAATAAAGCACAAGATCGCATAGAAACGTTAAATATAGCCAAAAAACACACAAGTAAGTTTAATGAGCTCTTGAAGTTTTTAATAATTGAAATAAAAATAAGGGATGAAAATTTGAACCAAGGATTTTGGAAAATATTTATATTTTTAGCTCCAGCGCCGCGATTCATGAAATAATACAGTTGTGGAGATATGGACATCTATTGTTAATTTACGAGATCCACAGAAACGTGTAGTTTAGTTAGCTTTTTTCTTTTGTATTGTATCATTAGTTTGTATTCTATAACAAATTAGTTGAAGGAGATGGACTTGAGTCTTGTATTCATAGTTAACAGATATCCTATATGATTGGTAACATAACATTGTACTTACGTGAGCGTAACAAACTTTCGACATTCAATTGGTGCAAAAATTGTGCGTTAAACATACCAACATATCACTAACTACAAAAAACCTTCCCACTCGGTAAAACTAGTGGCTTATAGAAGATTGGACTAAAAGCTTAAGGCTGATTATAAAACAACACAATATCAATTGCTTATCATGTCGGTATCACAATCACTACCTCTAAGAATCATACATTCATTAATTATACTTATATTAGTTCCAAAAACTTATATGAGTGGATTCCTTGCATTATCAATTATTAAACCAGATATTTCAAATATATCGTATAATTCTAAAGTTATGAAAATGGTATGGGGTGGATGTATATTGATGAAACTGAATCATGTTGTTAAATATTCAAAGATTTTATATAAAAAATGGGATTATTATAATTCAAGAGAACAAACTTTCAATGATTCTTTAGGTCCATTAGGGTATGAATTTTTAGGAGGTTTGATATTGATATATCTGTCTTATGAATATTTGAAAAATCGTGATATTGCTTTACAAGAGAATGATGATGAGGAAAAGAAGTAAATAGTACTAACAAACAGTTACAGACCATCAGGATTTATTGCATGCTTCTGGTACAAGAGGGATTAAAAGATCAGATAAGCGCCAATGTACTACACTTGAGATTAAACAATTATAAATAAATAAATGTATAAAATTAGAGATCTATACAATCTATTCAAAGTTATAGAATTAAATGAATATGATAATGAAACTCTTTTAATATGATGTTTGTGACTAAAATCGTATGTAATTTTAATGTATAATTAATTGATAATACTATAATAAATCACTGATCTAATACAACGAGTTATACTGATTTACTTATTATTCCTTTTAATCAATATCGACAGAAGATTTATTTGAAATGACGAGCACACGCACAAGCGCTGGACCAAACCAAAAACGTGTACAAGGTGTTGAATTGATAAAAGTATAAAAATTGAAAAGAAGGGAATTTGGATCCTTTATATAATAATTATGAAAATTTTAGCGGCTAACTAACCGCCACATTAAAGATAAATAGTAATATAGATCGTAGTACAAAATCTCTGAATTAGGAAGTATATTCATGATCGAATTGACGACTTTATGATTCATTACATTTGATGACAGCTTAGAATTCAATTAGCTTACATTCTTGTTCCCATGTTGTTCTCATCTTGCTTGAACTGTTCGTTGTTGAAATATTTTAGGGCTTGATGGAAAACGTAGATCAATTGAAATCAATATCGAATCCCGATCTCAAAATTGAAGGTACTAATAAATTATTATACAAGAAAGGCCAACATTATAATCTATTGAGTGATCTAATGAATTGCTAACGAATTCAAAGAGTATATAGTCTATTCAATATAGCAGGTGTGTTTAATCATAAACAATCATAACTATCGAGATTTGATGTTACTATCATGACGTACGGCTACAGGCCTTTTCCATAACGTCCAATCACGATGATTAAGTGACGAAGGCCGGCTTTGTCAAAAACAAGTGTAAATCTATTGCTAGTTACATTTTTATGATCTACAATAGTATTAAGTGGGCAAGGATCATTGTAGAAATAGTGAATTGTATAAATAATGAGCTTTTTTTCTGCTAAGTTCGTGATAATATTCATATTTAAGTATAAGGGCCTAATTCAATTAAATTTTTAGGTAAAAGATATCTAATTAAGCTTATAAAAACACACCATCATGTCTACTGTCATTGAAAACTTCACAGAATTTGAAGAAGCTTTAGAATCTCATAGTTTGTATGTTGGAGTAATGTTTATGGATGAAGAAAATTATCCTAATTCCAAAAAAGCAAATGAAATATTTGAAAAATTAGCTCTTGAAAATAATGATTATCATCATGGTTATTATAAGGTCTATCTTAATAACTGTGGTGATATTGATTTACATGATTTTGACGTAAGTGATCAAGATGGTTACACTGGTGAAAAAATTGATAATGTTTTCTATGTTGGCTTTATTGATCATGGTGATATAATTCATTATGCTAATACGGAAAATGATTATAAAGAAATGGAAAACATAGTCAAAATTATTAAATAATTAAGAATTTTGTATGAAAATCCACTTTGTATTATACTTTAATTTGACATCATTTAGATCAATACATGTTAAACCCCTCATAATCGAACCATATTGATCTCTGTACAGATATGTTACCTAATCTCTCACAATCACCAAACGTTGGATTAGATTCAGGCTTCAGGCTCTCAAGTCTCCAATAGTTAATTAACCTCAAGAACCATCACTTTTCAATAAATTTATTCATGGAATCTACTAACACCTTTAAATTAATTTGTTTTTAGTAATTACGGCAAAGAAAACAAAGCAAAACACTCTCAGCTAATCAAATATCAAGGTGGATACTTGGTGAGATTATATGGACCTCAAAACAATTTTCATTGAGGATTATATAATCCTTACGTAATACTCATAACAAAATCATAAAATCTATAAACTCTTAAATCAAAAGTGTATACGTAGATACTCAAGGGATAATGAGTCATGGTTGACCTTTGATGTCTCTTTCATGACGTATGGTTATCGGCCTTCTCCATAGTACGTCCAATGATGAAGTGATGAAGCTTTGTCAAAATCAAGCTTGTAATTATTTATAAAATCATTGCTACATCAGTTTTTAAACGATCTACAATAAAGTGGTAAGTGGTAAGTGGATAAGGATCATTTTAGATCAATATTAAATTGTATATATATTGACTAGTTTCTCCTCTTCAGCTAAGCCTATAATTATTTTTAGTAGCTAAAGAGCCTCAATAAAGGTAAATTTGATATAAAGTTAAGCTAAAAACACACCATCATGTCTACTGTCATTAGGAGTATGAGACAACTTCAAGAAATTTTAAATAATCCAGATGCGTATATTGCAATAATGTTTATTGATGAAGAAAATTATCCAGATTCCAAAAAAACAAATGAAAAATTTGATAAATTAGCTCTTGAAGATGCTAATAATGCAGATTACCAGTTTTATAAGATATATCTTCAAAAACCTGGTGATATTGATGTACATCGTTTTATGACTTATCATAGAGAAGATGAAAAAGTTGATAATGTTTTCTTTGCTGCTTTTAGTGGTGATGATCTGATTCAGTATGCTAATGCGGAAAATGAAGAAGAATTCGATAACATTTTCAATGTTTAAACAACTTTTCAATAGAACAAACTGTTGGGGTACTAATATTGGATGATTGATCATAGTTATAATAGTATAATACAGTATGATTGAATATATGTAATGACTTTTTCATTAACTTGACTTGACAGATTATAGCCAGAGTACTCATAGGAATACTGATGTTTATTTATACACATTAATGTTCTTATTCTTAAAGTCTTTTCATACATAATTGAGCTTAATTTGTTTCTTCCATAATTCATTTTTATCATTCTTCGAGGATTACCGTCCAACAGCAAGAAAAATCTTGATCTTATTTGATTGTGTAGATCATTGCATCATACTGATAATTATTTTATGTATGATCGTCGATCGACAAAGAAAAAATTGAACAAGGATTTATTATGTATGAAATTATATAAATACGTTGGATCCCTCTCTATAAATCAGTCCTCAATTATTCATTATTAAAACATATTGAATTAAAAGTCATAAAACCACAACATTCAGATAACAATGTCTACTCAGCTCAATAATGTTGAAGAAGTCGAAGAGGCTCTCAAAGCTCACGATGGTTCCTTTGTTCACATAAATTTCATTAATGAAGGTGATATTGATTCAAGGGAACAAAATGAATATTTTGAAGAAATAGCTTCTAAGGCCAAATCCAAGAATATCGAAGAAGCTTTTTATAGAGTATCTCTTGATGATAATCCACAAATTAAAGATCAATTAATGGTATGTCCTTATGAAAATTATAATTCAAATGATTCATTTATCTCTGTATTCCATGAGATGAACTTGATGGGTTTTGCTAAAACAGATGATAAAAATGAAGTTGAAGAATTATATAAAGGTTTGAGTGAAGTATTAGCCGAAGATGATTGAAATTAGAAAATTTTATATCAAATTAGAGATCTGTATACAAATCATGATTCAAAATTATTAAATAAATGAATATGTAATTATAATACTCTTTTGATAGGTTATTTAATAATTCATGTATAAATTTATGATTATCAGCTATATGTAATCAATTGACTATATATGATAATTTTGGAAACTTATACTAGCGGTTAATTGGATACCACAAAAAGGTTATAATTAATCAAGTATAACAATAACAACCGCTGTGTATAAACAGCTCTACAATTAGTTGAATCATAATCAGTATGATCAAAAGAATAAGATATTGTATATTATAAAGCATATTATGTCCTTTAAAACAACATCAATATGTATTAGAATCTCATAACGAATCAATATAATAGGTAATTCAAAACTCTACTATAATATAAATGAAACGTAATTAATTGATTCTATGAACACCAATAATTATATATAGATATATCACCACGTTTAGGAATGAAGGTTATCACCGTAGAATTTTGCAACAAAAAAAGATATAAAAACCTTTACGATTTAATCAATTGAACATGAAATTTTTTTAAAAAAGTGGGAATTTCTTGTACTTTTATATTTAAAATTAGCCGCTGTGTACTGAAACTACATTAATTGATCTTTAACAATAAATTCCACAAACAAAAATGTCATTAAATTAACCAGCCTGATTCTCATTTGTGTAATAAAATGAAGTAACCAATGTATTCTTATGACTTGTATATTTTGAGTTGTTCATGATAATATCCATTAACAAACCATCAAAGAAATAGTACAGAACCATCAATTGAATAACTGTAGGTTATTGTAAATATCACAGTACAAACAATTAAGTATAAAACTAGCAAAGCACAAGAAAAAATATTAGATCATTTAGTACTTCACTGCAGTATAGATTCAATTTTAGTAATCTTATGGATTTAATGATCCATCAATTAGATATATTGTAGAATTTAAGTCAAAAAAAGGGGAAATCTTGAGTTTATATATGAAGAATACAACAAGGAAAATTGAATTTAAAGGTGGTGGATTAGTAGCGTAGCATATAAGTAAGAAACTAAAGGAGGATAATTATAGATCTAGATAGTAATGCTTAAGAAATTGAACAACTACAATAACACATAAATGTTTAAATGTAATTCAAAATCATTAAAGTCTTATCAATCATCTTGTTCAAATGATATAAGATAAAACTTAATGAGTCTAATCATGTATAATACGTCTTCTATATCATAAAATAATCCTTATAACTCTTGAATTAATCCATATCAATAGGCTCATTGATTCCATGTAAATACTCACTTATAACATACTAATCAAACCTGAAAATACTAATTTTTTAGGTATGATATTATATCATGAACCAGATGATCAAGAACCGGGAATTGAAAATATTCCTCACAGCACAAAGCAAGTATACAAAACAGTAAAGAAACACATTTAATGGTTAAAAAGATAATTTGTAGGTATTCTTTTAACGTTTTTAATTCAAATGAATAAATATAAAAGTATATAAGGGATGAAAATTTGAACCAGGATTTTGGAAAATATTTATAATTCAAGCGCGCGGTTAATATTCATGGACATCAGCTATATATTGTTAATTTACGAGATCCACAGAAACGTCTAGCTCAACTACCCTTAATTATATCCTTTGTACTATGGTATGTGCTCTTTAACTAAACAAATAAGTTGGAGGAGATGAACTTGTATTCATAGTTAACAGATATCCTGTATGGATGGTAGGTTAAATATTTACCAGAAATATATGATATGTTTACGGTCAAGAACTAATGATATGATTTGAGCAGGATCTTTATAAACAAATGAAAATGTGTTTCATGCTTTGAGTCTTTGAAATATTGACCGCTGAGTAATTCTTTGTGTAATTCAATTATAAACTTTTTCAATATCGACAGCGGCTAATTTTATACATATATATAAATAGTTCAAGTGCTTCCCAACATTTCTTAATTATACCACAAAACCAGTTTAGAAATTATATGTTGTATTCACTTGGTATAAATTGTAAATGTAATTAGCAATTAGTGCAAGTTTAACAAAATCAATATTAGGTATAATATAATTGTTCATGTAATTGACTTAAGTTTGATAATTTGGAAATATTGGAATATATAATATATTATGATTTGAATATTAATAATTGTGATATCATGTAATTGGTTATTGAAATAATTTGAATATCAATCATTTCAAATTATAAATAGTATTTCATCACATAAATACTTCAATTTGAAGATACATAGATTGAATAAATGTTGATATCATATATAATGATGATATTAAACGTCTCATTGTTGATTGATATTGATTCATGTATTACATATATGCAGTTTGTAGAACTTCATTCTTTAATTATTGAATTGATTAAACTCAAGATTGAATCACCTATCAATTTATTGATCTGAAAACATTTGTACCAGTTCCGATTGACTAAAATGTATATTTGCCGCTACAATTCATTTTTTTTGCCGCATATTACTCTTATCTAAAAGAGATAGGGGTCAAGAAGGATGGCTGAGTGGTGTCAAAGATTAATAATTCAAACTCCTATTTATTGAATAAGGATGGTGCAATTTAAAGTTATTATAAAAGGATAATATATTACCAGTTTATAACTATCTCAATCAATCTTAATAACCATTCAACTCAACAAACATCAATTCAACAACGCAATGTCATCATATTCTGGTAAACTTCATAAATATAATGAAAGATTAACAGCTTTTGAATTCACTTCAAATCCAACAGATAATGTAATCATATTTATTGGTGGTCTTGGTGATGGATATTTAACAGTTCCATATGTACCACAACTTATTAAATCTTTACCTAACAATTGGTCATTATTTCAAGTTTTAATTAGTTCTTCACATCAAGGTTGGGGTACAGGTTCATTAGATCGTGATGTTGATGAATTAAAACAATTTGTTGATTATTTACGTGGTCTGGGAAAGAAGAAAATTGTTTTACTTGGTCATTCAACTGGGACCCAGGATTCTTTCCATTATGCTATAAAGCAAAAATCTTATGGTATTGATGCAATTATTTTACAAGCTCCTGTTAGTGATCGTGAAGCTGCTTATAAAAAAGCTAAAAAAATTGGATTAGATTTAGATTCATATAATAAAGAAGCTCAAGAAATTTTTGAAACTGAAGGTGCTGATGCTTTATTACCAAAAAGATTTTCAAATTTCTTATTTAATGCTAGTTCTTTAAGTGCTTATAGATGGTTATCATTAACTATACCAAATGGGGATGATGATTATTATTCAACAGATTTAAAAGATGAAAGATTATCCCAGACTTTTGGAAAATTAACTAAACCAACTTTAATTCTTTATTCTGGTAATGATGAATTTTATCCTGAAGGTATTCAATTTGAAAATGTTTTAAAAAGATGGGAAAGTTTTACTAAACCAGGTATTTGGTCAAAATATAGTTTAATTATTGATGGTGCTACTCATAATATTGGTGAAGGTTCTAAAGAAGGTGGTGTTGAAGTTTTAATTAAACAAGTTAATTCATTTATTAATGAGTTATGAGTTAAGATCAAGTGGATCAATTACATTCTATGAAATCAATATAGAAACTTACTTTTAATCTATCTTTATTTTTCAGTTGATCATTGTTGTAACTCATTGAAATTACCGCTGTGTATAATAATTCTCTACAGTTGATTATATCATGACTATTATGGAAACAGAAAAGATGTTGTATATTCTAAATTTATATTCAAGTAACAACATCAATTAATTATAATCTCAATTAACAAATCATATTCCTTAGGTAATTTATAACTCCCTAATATGTAAATTGATTTGAATTGAACTATATTAAGTTAAAATGGTGTCAAACGCTTAGCATATATGATAAACAGCAGGAGCAAAGCCTAGGAATTCTAACAAACTTCAAAACAACATTATACTTAGGATTGCATTTCAGAAAAAACAATTGCCACCAGAATAAAGATATTAAATTAATAAATTGAACAGGAATTTTTTGTACTTTTATACTTGAAAATTAGCCGCTGTGTTGAAACTACAAATTAATTAATAAAAGAATCCACAAACACAAACAAAAATGTCATAAATCAATCTGATTCTCATTCAAATGAACAAAATGAAGTAATCAATGATTTCATAATGACTTGTATATTGTATAAATTTGTTATCTATAATGATATTTACAATATTAATGAACAAATTAGATCAAAATAGTAATAAACACCAGTTAATGAATTACTCAACTAAAATTATGAATTAGATAGAGGTGTAAATTGTTCTTTAAGTTTCTATGGTCAAAGTCAAGCTTATAGCTTTCTTCGTATTTTTATAGAAGTATAAGTGAGTTCGAAATTAAGGGGGAATTTTGAGTTTATATATGAAAAATTCCACAAGAAAATTTTAAAATGGCGGCTACTGATAATTAGACGTGATCTTAACTTAAGTAAAGAGCTAAAGAGTGATCCTTTATATAGATCTTGAGAACAATGAAGATATGAAGTAACTACAGTTTAAAAACAGATCATAAGTTTAAAAATAATTCAAAATCATTAAAGTCTTATCAGTCATATAATTTCTTCTCCAATCAAATAATATCAATAAGACAACGATTTTGATCTCACATGTATAAAACCTCTATATCATAGAATAATCTTTATAATAAACATGACAGTCATGAAATTAATCCATATCAGTAGAGCTATACTTCAACATGTCATTTGAATACTCACTTAATTGAATTAATTGAATATTTTCGACAAATTAATAATTAATGATCTGAAATAATATCTAGCTGACCATATCGCCAGCAGCTAACGTTTGATCCTTATATAGAAAATTTTTTAATAGAAAACTATCCAAACAAACAAAATGAAAACAACACTTGATGTAGAAGCAAAAATAAAATCAAGCTGATCGTGAAAAATTGAAAAAAAGGGATTTTTCAAAGTATTTATATAATAACGGAGAATCTCGGAGATCTGAACTACTTCTCAATTATTACATAATACACATCATAAATATTATATAATTTTTATACCCCAAAATATCAAGTATTTTATTTTTTTTAAACTATCAGGAGCTTTAAACTTTAACGTATAACAATTATTTTCATAACATTTTGGTCAAATATTAACCTGGATCTTAACTTGCAGTACTGTCGATATAGCCAGATTTTCATGTACTTTCTTTAGGTTTGGGTGCATGCATGTGTCTTAATACAATATTTTCATTTAGATATTGCAGGTATTTGGTATTTGTTCAACCTCAGCTTGATATGGTTTTAATTAACTATATACAATCAAATACCAAAGTCATGGATATTAATATGAATCAATTAATATAACATGGAACTCATGATTTGGGAATTAAAGATTTGAACAAGATTTTTTAATATAAACAAATAGAATGTGTTCTTTGATTTTGTTTACTACGTACGAATTGTAGGTTTTTTTATTTGCCACTTTGTGTAAATTATTATCGACATCGACAGCGGCTAATTTTCCATATAAATAGTACAAGAGATTCCCAACATTTCATCCTAAAATTCAATTATATTATCAATTCTTTTCATCATTGAAAGAGTTGTGTATAATTGAACTTGCAAATAAGGCCGGTTGTAATGTTGAATGATGCTATAAATTTTCGTTTTCTCATATAATGATTGTCCAGCGGCATGATGATATTTATAATAATTTAAAGTTGTTAATTTGATCTATCCTTTCAAATTATAGATAGTATTTGTCATATGAATACTTCAATTTGAAGATATATAGATTTCAAATAAATGTTGATATCATCTAATGATTGGATTAAATTGATTCATCATTATACTTGATATTGATTCATGTTTTACATATGCAATTTTCGTAGAATTAGTTAAATCTTCAAACGTAAAGGGATGAATCTATCACTTAATTATAAATCGATTTAGAAAATCAAGTTATTAACTTCTACATTAAATTTAAACAATATATTATGAAACACCAATTGTTAGAACTCCATACAACTCATTCAAAATTATTTGTATGAATGAATATGATAATAAAATTCCTTTTGATGTATATGTATATTAAATCATGATTAATTTATATGTAACCAATATTTGATCTTAATATATAATTAATAAATGATCACAATAATATAATAATGATACATAGCTGCTATATTCTAAATGATATTTGAAGTCAAAGACAGTCTGCCAAATGTTATAAATCAAGAGACATACTAGTTTGATAAAAGTTTGATGTAGATAATTCTAAAATGAAAAAAGGGGAATTTGAATCCTTTATATAATAATCTGAAATACTCAGCGGCTAATTAACCGTCATAATAAAAGGTGATGATATTAATATACCCGCTGTCTAAACAGCTCTACAATTGATAATGAATGAATAACAAAGAATAAGATATTGTATATTATAATCCATGTGTATTCAATAACAACATCAATGAATTGGAATCTCATAACGAATCATATATTAAGCTGGTGATTAGCTCCACTATAATATAAATGAAACGAATAGATTTTATATGGAAATATATATAATTTTAATTCAATTTTGAATTGAGAAAAGTATAGTCATCCAGCTGCCAGGTAGTCGACGTACTTCAGGTAATGATTAAATCAAATCATTTTAATCAGCTTAGTTCAAAAAAAGTGGGAAATTCGTGTACTTTTATATTTAAAAATATAAATTAGCCGCTGTATTATAATTAACTTCAATCGATTCATTGAAAACAAAAACGCCATAATCAATCTGGTTCTCATTTTAATAACAAAATGAAGTAATCAATTTATAATTCTTATGACTTGTATATTATAAGTTATTTATGATTATATTCTAACAAGTCATAAAAGAAATAGCTAGTAACCATAGAATACTAATTGAAGCTTGATACAGCAGTAAAGGAAGCTCTAAACAGACAAGTAGAAATCTTTAAAAGCTTAAAAATCAGTCATAACATGATTATGCCAATTGTTTCAGCTGGGCAAGAGTCATTTATATTCACCAGCCTAGGACGTGGACTTGAATAAATGTTTAACAGTGAGATTAGTGGTTGAAAATTAAGGGGTATCTTCAATTTATATAGGGAAAATTTAAAAGTGTTGATTAGTAACAACAACAATCCTTCATGATATATATACAGATTCCCATGAATATATAGAATAACTACAATCCAATTAACATACTGAAAATAATTCAAAATCACAAATTGTCCTATTATCCATTCTTTTTGTAATCAAATGATATTAACAAGACAATGATTCTGATCATGTATATAAAACCTCTAGATCATAAACTAATCTTATACCTCTTTAATTGAGCTATATCAATAGGACTATACTTCATAATATATGAATACTTACTTAATTCAAAAACTCAAAATCTAATTAAAAGATGGCATTATAACCTTTCACATGAGGTAGAAGGACTAGAAATAAGAATTATCCCCCAATTATACTAGGATTCAGACGTAAACCAAGAACAAGATCATTCAAAGCGAAACAATATACGTTAATGGTCCAAAGAGAAGATAAAAGTATTGAATGAAGATTTGAAAAAAGTGGATTCTCGAAAGTATTTATACTTTTTAACAGGGCGCTTAATTGATCTGCAGCGTTATGGAATCTCGGGGAAATTTACGAGATCCCGATCCGGTAAAAGATAAGAGTACATAGATTCATATAAACTTATATACTAATTGAAAATTTATGCATTCAATTGACTTAAAATACTTTCAATAAATTCAATCTGCTCCACTCTGAAAACATCATCTTCTAAATGATTCCCCTTTAAATCAAAAACCATATTCTTACCAGGTTTTGTATCTCCATACCTTGTCCAATTTGGTAATTCAGCTTTCAATTTATTACTATCTTGAATATTTGGATCAAGATTATAAATAAATGAAATCCATGCTTTTGATATAGTATTTGCAATATCTGGAGCTCTTGGATCTGGATAAAAACTTGTTAGGTTATCTTCTTCAGATTCATTGTTGGTTAATCTATTATCAAATACATAAACTAAATCTTGAGCATGAGTAACACCAACATATGGTTTTGAAAAAGTTTTATGAGATGGAATATTGAAACGATATTTAAAAACTGGTATTTGGTGTTGAGAATAAATTCTTGATGTTATTCTTGTACCTGCTATGAAAATTAAATCACCATAAAGCATACCTAAAGTTTTATATTCATCTCCTGTTATACCCTCAGGGTAAACAATTGGTGTATTATTATAAGTTGGATCTTGTGGGACTATAGTTTCTGGATTATCAGGAGAATATAAATTTAATAATTGATCAATTGTTTCATTATTAATATTTGGTGAATTGTTTAATAAATATGATTTAACTTGTTGTTTTGTTGATAATGATTGATTTATAAATGTTGAACCTTCATCAGTTGTTGTACCTAAAAGTATAGGAATTTTCATGAAATCATCATCATTGTTTCTCAAAGTTTCATAACTTGATTTTGGTAATACATCACCATCCAAATAAGGATATTTATAACCAACTTTAACAATTTTATTTGCTAATTTAAAAGCATCCCTAAGCTTATCAGAATCAACTTTTTGTAAACATTCAATATAATCACTAACATTATTAAAACAATCAACATATTTCACCACAGATAAAAAATCATCTTGACTAGGTTTTATATCAGCAGGTTTAACTAAAGGAACAATATTTGAACCACTTTGCATTATTGCACCTTTGATATAATTTGTATCAAGATATTTCGATTGACTTAGAATTTTCCCTATAGATACAGAACCTGCAGATTCACCCCATAAAACTAAATGATTTGGATCACCACCAAATTCAGCAATATTTTCATGAATCCATTCAATAGCTTTAATTTGATCTCTTAAACCAATATTTGTCCAACCTTTCCTTTGAATTTCATCACTTTTTAAAAAACCAAATCCATTTAATCTATAATTTATTGTGATACCAATTATTGGTTTCCCAATATCAATAGAATTTTGTATAACCCATGATAAATTAAATTCTGGTGATCTTCCAGATCCTTCAGTAAATGAACCACCATGAATCCAAATCCCCACAGGTAATTTAGCATCTTTCCCTAAACCATGAGGTCTAACAATATTCAAATTTAAACAATCTTCAGACTTGGGGAATGTATAAATCCCACTTGATGCAATACAAGCATCACCAAATTCAGTAAAATTTCTAGTGGAATCCCATGAATGATTATATGACTGAGGTGGTTTGAATCTAAGTGAACCTAAGGGAGGTTCTGCAAATGGGAGACCTAAAAATGCATCTTGATTGAAACTGGTGATATATTTACCACTTATTGTACCATTTTGTATTTGAACAATGGGGGTATTGACGTCTTGATCATTTGAGATTGGTGAGCTTAATACTAAAGTTAGCAAAGCAAATAAGAACAGCATGAGGAGTTGTTGTGATATTGGTATTTACATTTTCAATCTATTTGTTAATTATCATAGCTTCATCATATACCCTTTTATACCTCAGACTCATAACAATCAAAGGTCAATATCATAATTGTTTACATATTGATTTAACACTTGTTACATTATTGAAAATACGAGGACCCCTCAAAAATGTATATAAACATCCCGAATTTTGTTGAATATAATTGAATTGAGCTAAGCGCTGATTAAGACAATGAATTTTTATTGGATATTGATTATGGAAATGTAGATTATTATATTGTTGATTGATTGAGTGATTGGTTGAGTGAATTGATTTGATGAGATATATTGTATGTAGCGTTAACTAAATGCAGAAAAAGACTAGATATTATATTATAGTTTCAAATTATAAAAATATCAATTAATATACGAATCAGGAATGTTTCCCATCAAAGTAATTTAATTAATCAACTAAATTAGCCGCTGGATTAATTTCATATAAATAGATTCAAATATCTTGCAATCAAATCCAATTTTTAATTATCAATTCATATCAAGAAAATTATTTCATGGTTTAACTTAATCCATTAAAAGTCCAATAGAATTGAGCAGGTTGTGTTTGTGAATTTTACTAGTTCTCTAAAAACTCACCATCTGATATGTAACAAATTGAATGAATTGCCATAAAGAGTACCGCTTATAAATATATTATATATTAGATTGGATCATCCAATAATATAATCAATTGGGGTTTCATCAATAATTTAATTTAAATTTTTCTCTCATGATGGATTATATATCAATAGAATCATGTATAAATTGACCTCAAATATTTATCAATTCTTTGAATATATATCCAAACTTTACCAATTTTTATGATACAATTATTGTAGTACAACATCACTAGTACGTCGCTAGTGGACACATTTTTAATCATCGAGTATTTATCTTTAGAAGTGTTAAATTGCTTATGGTAAATGTTCAATAATATTATCGATCAACTTCTAGATGTAATCTACAAAGTTAAAATAAAAGAATAAAGTATAAGATCTAATCTTTCTGTCAATGAATATATCTAAATGAACATGAATAAGATCAATCTTATAATATATATTTAGCTTTAGTTTAATATGTTTGATAAATATTTCATATACTAAAATTTAATTGATCAAATTAACAAAGCAATATACCATGAATAACTAGAAATATTAAATAGTATAGCTGAGATCAGTGGAATGCATAAAATCACAGGAATTAACCAACAACATGAATACAAATTAAGTTTACCAGAAGCGGTTTAAGTTATAGATGATCAAATATATAAAGATTTAAAGGAAATTGAAGATCAAATGGGAATTTGTGGTTTATTTATACCAAATCATGACAGCGGCTAATTCTATTTTACAATTCGATTAAACACAAATTAAGGTCACCATAAATATTTTGCATCATTATTTAATCTAATGAATATAATGATTGACTTGTAGCTGTAATCTCTATAATTTAAACATCAAGAATGATTTATTAAAATCGTATCAATTGATGGATATTAATCATGTAATTTTGTAATTTTAATATGAGATAATTTCATGGAAACAGAAGTGACCAAATTTAAAGAAAGATTAGAGCATGTTGAGCTTGAAATGTTCCCTTATATATTAAGCGTGTTGAATCCACTGAAACCGAAATTTGTATTTCATTAAAAAGAGTAGAAGTGTAGAAAGTTTGTTTTGTTGAAATTATTTTAAAAGGGATCATATTTGGTAAAAGCACAATTTACAATAAACAAGGGATCTCACTTATAAATCATAGATCTTTAATATTGTTCGTTAATGTAAGCATATATATGATTTGGGTTTGTATAAAGAAACAATATAAGATCGAATTCATTAATTGTCTTTGTGTTAACACAATTCATCTTTTAATTAAATTAGCCGCTGTGTATTTTCAAAAAGTATATAAATATCTGAGTACAACTTCAAATTATTATAATTATTCGATCTCTCATTAACCTCATGACAATGTGTTGTATCTCATAAGGTAATCTTAGAAAGTTAATTTGCAGATATAACAATAATATCTATTATAACCGCAATTGGGAATTTCCTTTTATACTTAGTGAAAGACTTCATCATGATTGTTGATTAATTTGTTTTGATTTTTGATATCATTTCATTGCAAACAATTTGATCAATCCCAATCTTTAAACACAATGGAATATAATTCAATAGAATCAAGTATAAAGTAGTTCCAAAGATTTATCAACTATTTGAATATATATCCACCTCTTGTTTATAATTATTGTAGAGTATAATGTAGTTTTATTGAATATTGATTATGGAAATACGACGTAGAATATGATGATAATTGATTGAGTGTATTGAGTGTATTGAGTGAATTGATTTGTTGAGTAGTAATTTGTATGTATTCTACATGAAGTACTGAATTGAAAAAATGAATTTACCATAAGATATAATCTTCTTGTCATCAAAATATTAATCCAAATGAGCAAAATGCAAGACCAATCTTATAATATAATATGTATTTAATTTGAAATAATATATTTGAAGTTGAATAATTGGATAATTATTGATATTATTGAATTAAAATTTGATCATATTAATAATGAAAATTCATGATATATTAATATAATATATTAAATTTTATTGAAATTATAATATAACTTGATATTGACATATTCAGGAGTGAAAGAAAACACAAAATTTAATCTTTAAAATCTACCATGTGGAGTTACTAGAGCACGATCCAGTATATCATGAATCAATTTGTAGAATCTTTTAACGTTTCATAGAAGGATTTCTGTTTTTCACAGCTCCTTGAAAAATATGAAAATATCAATAAATATACGAATTAGGAATACTTCCCATTAAAGTAATTTAATTAATTAACTAAATTAGCCGCTGAATTAATTTCATTTAAATAGATTTAAATATCTTGATCAAACCCAATTTTTTTGATCACTAATTCATACCATACGTGTACTCATTAAACCTTATAGTTTTGAAGTGGATCTGAAGGTTTTGTACCATGTGATCTTGGTTATAACTAAAATTTTTAGGATCAGTTGGTTTGAGATATCATTAATTTATATACCTTTTGTCATGGAAAATTGCACTAGAGGTGGTGAATTTAAATTTATATAACAGCTTAAATTATAACTTTGATTGGATTGCATTGATCATGATTTAATGTATTAATGATCAATTGAGTTTCCATCATTTTTAATTTAAATTATATCATGTACTATACAGATGGATTATAATCAAGCTAGAATTGATTTCAAATATTTATCAATCTTTGAATATATAGATCCAATATATTACTGATTTAAATAATATTTATTGTAGTTAAACATGTATCACTGGAGCTAATAGTACGTATATACCGCCTTGAAATCATTTTTAATCATCGAGTCTTTATCTTAATTTGTTGAATTGCTTATGGTATATGTTTGATATCGATTGACTTCTATATAGTCTACAAATTAGATAAATTAAAAGGATAAAAGTATAAGATCTAATCTTTCTGTCAATGAATATTTCCAAATTAACAAGAATAAAGATCAATCTTATAATGTGTATTTAGCTTAAAGTATATTTGAAATTGAATAGATCACATTCATATTGATCAAATTAACAAAGTTTGTAAATCAACAGTGTCAAATTTAAAAAGGTGTTCAGATATAAAAAAAAAATATACAAAATGACTTCTTCAGCACATGAATAAGAAACAGACAGGTACTGTTTTTTTGATATAGATCCAATTTTAAAAGAATTAAGAAATATTAAATTAGAAATTAATTGGGATTTGTGGTTTATTTATATATACGTCTAAAATTTAGATCGCATCACGGCGGCTAATTTCAATGTACAACAATTTAATTAAAGATCGAAACACAAAAAGATCATCATCTGCATATACGTATTATCAATTGAGATCATATAATATGATAATGTGATGTTGATTGACTTGTAGTTTAACATATCTTTATTTAAATCATATTGATTAATATCGTAGCTAAAGTTGGTACGTACTACAAACCAGTACAAGCTAATTAAAGATACCCTTCTAGTCAATATGATACCCAAAGATTTAGATTAAGATTGATGTATATATACCTGGCTTTATTAATTGTCTTTGTGTAACACAAAAATATCAACATTTAATTTAATTACCAGCCGCTGTGTCTTCAAAAACCATATGTGAATAAATATATATGAATATCATTGCAGTTATACTGCAATAAATTTCGTTTTATAAATTCATATAAATTTATGTTTTATAAATTCATATAAATTTATACCCAATTCATACCTACATGATGTTTTTTATTTCTTGGATGAATGTATTAATCTCATATGTGACAAGATTTTTTGATCTTTTTAAATCATGTTGTTATTGGATATAATTGACGTTTTTTACTTATATTACTTTGTACCTTTTGTGAATATACATAAATTTACTATTGGATAATTCATTTGTTATTTATATATGATTTCATTCAACCAAATTACAAATACTCATGAATTATTCCAAAACCAATATTGGAATATAATCAATAGAATCAAGTATAAAGTTATCCCAGAAGCTTTATCAATTTATTTGAATATATATTCATCTTTTCTTTATTATTATTGTAGAGTATCGATTAAACTACATGGAAATAATGAAAAAACACCAAGACATGTATATGAATAGTAGATCACTATAATTTCAAATGAATCAAATACTATCGATTAAACATGCCGGAATTCAAGCTGTACTATATAAATTCTGTATATAGCAGCTTCCACAATGCCCATTTCTGAAGATATAAGCTCAACATATCTAACATTTAGGTATTCTGAGAAACATCTATTTTGAGCAATTCCAAACGTATCACATGATTTAACGGGTAAAAAAAACCCTGCAGATCTATTTACCAAAAGCGTAAACCATAAAAAAAATAAGAGTAATTAGTGACGCACAAAAAGGTCTAATCCTGAGCGTCAAACTAACCTTTGAAATCTAATTCGATTGTTTAAAGAGTAAGCAACGTAGTACCAAAAATTTTCAAATTACCATGAATGTTCGCGAATTGGAAATTTTTTAACTAGCTGGCGCGCACTGGCCGCAGCCACATCAGCTCTGAATTTGAAATTTAACCAATATAACTAAAATTTAGTACAGATCGACGTAAATAATTGGCAAAGACTATTAGCTGGTGTATTTGATGTCTCGCTTTACCATAAGTGTTGTGCGTTATACACTGAACTATCATTTTTGTTTGTTATGGGTTTCCAGGTCATAGCCAATAATATTGATTTGTTTTGCATTACAAATCTAGTATCAATTTGATTTAAGAAATAATATTAAATTTGATTCATATTGATTTGAATTGATGTCTGTATCTTATTAATGATACAGCTCAACTGTTCCAGAATGTGTTCTGATATTGTATTGATTCATTTGTGATTATAATGATCTACTATTTATATACATATTTTAATCTTTTTCAATATCTATACAGATGTAGTAGTAAGTTATATAAGTCATATAAGCTTCTACACTTGATATATACTTAATAAAAAAACATAAATTCACTCATATATTATATATAAATATCTAGATATAAAAAAAACGACCAATTATTATACTATACATAGCCAAATTGAAATTCACTATATTAATCCTCTTAATTAATGAGATCATAATTTAGCTTGACTCTTATAGTCAAAATCATAATATTCTAAAATAGATTTATCTAATCTATTAATACCTTCAATAATTTGATCAGAATTATCAACATTAGATAAAGTTAATCTAATAAAATCACTATTTGCACTATATTCTTTATCAAAACTCATCATATTCCCCAAGATAATCAAGACACCATATTTAATAAATTTATATCTTAAAGCTTCAAATTGTCCTCTATCAAGTTTAAAATTAAATCTAATAATGAAAAACATCCCACCTTGTGGTTTAACTGGTGATATTAAATCTCTAGTAACAGATTTTAAGTTTTTTAAATGTTTAAAAACAATATCAAATCTTTTTGTATATTCTATTGAAACTTGATAAGTCCATGATAAAAATCCATCAGCTCCTTCTCTTTCATCTTCATTATATCCTTCAATAATGGAACTTAATGATTCATTCCAATGATTAAATAAATTTGTTAAAATTAATTGAGAAAATCCAGATGGTGATTTTGTTGTTGTAGAACTAACTTCTTGTAAACGATCAATAAATTTATTATTTGAAGTTATATAACCAATTCTCATACCTGGGAAAATTGTCTTGGAAAAAGTACCTAAATGGAAAACACGAGGTGAATTTGTTGATAAATATAATGAATTATGTAAAGATCTTTTATATTCTTGAAATTTGGAATTTGAAAATAAATATTGTGATTTATTAGTTGATGACTCATCTAAAGGTGTTGGTAAATGACGAATGAATCCATCTGGATCATCTTCAATAATTAATAAGTCATATTTATCTGCAATTTTAATAATTTTTTGAATAATTTCATTTGATGTAATTAATCCAGAAGGATTTTGTGTTGGTACAGTAAAGAAAATTTTTGGAAATTTTAAATCTTTATATGGACCTTTTGACCAATTTTCCAATAAATCTTCAATAATTTCAGGATTTAAATGAGTTTTTTCACCTTTTGGATCAAATTCAACAGGTATTGGAATCATAATACCTTTATTAAACTCAATAGGAGCAAAGATTGGAGTATATGTAGAACTTTCAACAAGGATTGTATCACCAGGATCAATAAACCCTTGAAGAATCTTATTTAATGAATCACCAGAACCTGAAGTTATTAATGATTTAAATTCATCCAAGTTAACACCATGAAATTTTGTAAAATTTTCAATATGTGATAATAATTGTGGGAAACCTTGCCATGGAGCATAATTTAAACCTTTAGTAATATCTAATTTTTTTAAAGATTCTTCATTATCAATTAATGGAATTTTTAAACTTGTTGAAGTTGAAGTTGAAGTTGAAGTTGAATTGTCATTATCGAGTTCAAATGGAGATTTTTTCAAATCAATTGAAATTGATTTAATTGGATAAAAACCTACATTTGGTCTAGCATTTGATAAATTAACAATATTTGGATGAATTGGATGAGGTTTTGGTGGTAAAGGTAAAGAAAAATCTGAAGCTTTGATTTCAAGTTTATTAAAATATTGTTCTGGGTTAAATGTCATTGTGATGATGATGATGGTAAGTTGTATTGAAACATGGTAAGCTATTGAAACATAAGAAACTTTGGAAAAATTTATATGTGAGGAAACTTGAAACATGAATTCAATTAGATAAGATTATTAAACCAGGTGTATACAGATACCTATCTCTTTGAGTGATTCATATTAATCTAATAAATCATTAATGCCTCATGCCTCATGCCTTTGTGTCCAGGATTATATCATGATATCATGATTTATAATTCACGAATCTAGATAGCGGCCATGTTCCCAATATGGAAATAGCTCCGAATGAGTATAGATGTTGCATTTATATAGCCAGTTCATCATTAAACCCGGTCGGGCTATATAAATGGCCGAAAAATCATTTATATAACCAGCTCAGGCTAATTCAATATTTATATAGCTGGTACCAGTTATCTCAACATTTATATAAACAGCTCTGGCTATCTCAATATTTATTTATGCAACTCAGTCTACCACAATATTTAAGTATGCAACTCGGTCTTCCACAACATTGAACTATGCAACTCGGTCTACATCAATATTTCCATAACCAGCTCCTAGTTATCGATCAACTTTTATCAAAGTCCCTATAACCATGGAAATAATCAATGTATACCACAAGTCTTAAGGATAGCTGTGATTACTTGAATCAATGATTATTAAACACTTTAGATAGAAAATCTAACGTTAATGCTCTATTTTCCAACAGCAGAATTAATACACTGCAATGAGTATTACACTTCGAAGAACATTATTAATGTGAATTTGGTGGTGTAATTGGTCATTTGATTGTGTCAATATCAAGTCTAGCGATTGGGCTAATATAGATATCTAGATGACACAGATTCGATACTTTATATACAGCTTTAGAATTAATATATGAGTCGATACAAGTGATCGGTTTGTTATAATATTTAAGCCATCTACTCACGTTGCTGGCATTGCTAATTCCTTTTATATATGTTCACAAGGCCAATTCAAATGCTTTAATATTATAATTAAAAAGAATTAACTTGAAAATATAATGAGTTATTGAAACCAAAAACGTCATGTAATGAATGATCTTATTATATTCATCCCTTTAAACAATATTACAATATTGTAGGGAACTAATATGATCATGGTGCTGTATCAGTGAAGTTACTGATAATACATCTGTAATAAGAATCTATATTAGTCAAAGAGAGTAGTTGATTAGGGAAGTCAAAATGGTCATATAAACTTTGATCTGAAGCATTTAAAGGTATAAATATGATGACCGTGCACTTATTGTAAGACGTATAGAGCTGGGTGTATAAATATTGAGATAACCCGAGCTTGTTATGTAAATATTGATATAGACTGAGTTGCATAGTTCAATGTTGTGGTAGACCGAGTTGCATACTTAAATATTGTGGTAGACTGAGTTGCATAAATAAATATTGAGATAGCCAGAGCTGTTTATATAAATGTTGAGATAACTGGTACCAGCTATATAAATATTGAATTAGCCTGAGCTGGTTATATAAATGATTTTTCGGCCATTTATATAGCCCGACCGGGTTTAGAAATAAGTCGGCTACATAAATGCAACATAGATTCAAATAATTAAAATCTGATTAGGTCCCATTTATAACAAATATGACCGACAATTATACCCCCTTATTTTAATAATTCCAATTTCCAAAGTGTCTAGGATCCCATAATTTTTTCTGTATACTTATTAATTTTGAAAAAATTGAAATCATTATTATTGAAGATTAATTGTGCAGGACTCATGACACCATGCTCTAGTAGGGCCTAGGCCCTTGCGCTGCGCTATCTAGCTTAATCTAGCTTAAATTATAATTATTACAATATGAAATTAAATATATATTAGGCGGAGTTCGACCTCCGATTTTTAAAACGTATTAACATATGTGCACTAATAAATCAATTCTAATATTGTTAATGAGCCTAGTATAGAGTATGTTATGGGCTGTTTAGGTTATAGATGATTGTAACTAGTACTCGTTATCAAATTATTGGATCTATTTATGGAAATGTAGGATATAATGATTACATGAGTTTTAGTTGTTATCTTGACTTGCTAGACTGTTTATGGAGTGTTTAGCCTGTGATATGATTTGTAGCCTACAAATTAGTTAAATCAAAAGAATAAAAGTATATGATCTAATCTTTCTGTCAATGAATTTCCCAATGAACTTGAATAAGATTGATTTTATTATAATGTGTATTTAGCTTAAAGTATATTTGAATTAATCTAAATAGAAATTGGTCATATAATCAATTTAGAATATCAAATTAACAAAGCTTGTACGAGAATAAACATTTTTTAGATATTGAATTATCAGATATGATGCACCAGAAACTTTTTTTGACATAGAAATACATAATATATCCAAATTGTAAACATTAAGAGCTGATATCTAATTAGATCTATAATTATTGGGAATTTTTGATTTTTTATACAAGTTTATGACAGCGGCTAATTTTATTCTACAACAATTCAATTGAACAAACACAGAAAGCTCATGAATATCATCATATTATTAATCAAATAGATATTAACACGTAATCTAATGATTGATTGACTTGTAGTTATGATCACCATGTATCTTTATTTAAATCATATCAATTGATGAATAGTGAACAATATCGTATAGTTTAAGTTGGTTGCTACAAACCAATACAAACTGATTGAAGATACCGCCTTCAATTGTCAATATGTTATATGAATATTTAGATAAAGATTGATGTGTATCTGTCAGCTAGCCTTCATTGATCGTCTTTGTGTAATACAAAACATCGTTTATTAATAATTAGCCGCTGTGTCTTTTCAAAAATTATTTAAATATCTTACATTTCTCTTGATTCATATTCAGACTTAATTTTTGAAAGAATTATTGAATAATATTCCTGAAAATGGGTCCTACACCTTTGATATATCCTGAACAGGTTATTTAAATTAAGTAGTTCATATAAACCATTTAAACCATAATTATTAAAGTATAGCTTCTGTGATCAATAATTTAATATTTGATTGGATTCAGATTTGTTTTGATCATTTCAAAGATCAAGTAAAATTATTCCAAAACCCAATTGAAATATTAATCAATAGAATCAAGTATAAAGTGACCCCAGAAGCTTTATCAATCTATTTGAATATATATTCATCCCTTGTTTATTATTATTGTAGAACATCAATCAAATAATTCAACTACATGGAAACAATGAAAAAACATCAAGACATGTATATAGATAGTAGATCACTATAATCACAAATGAATCAAATACTATTGAAATTACATGTTTAATTATTTAAGTATAATGATCTGTAAGCTATAAGCTGCTTCTATACTAGTATCAAATATAGATATATCCCATGTACATAGCTTATATAAAAATCAAAATTATTTAATTGCTAAAGATAATTCAATTTTTTAATTGTGATTATTACTTGAATTCAATTAATGAATACGCCAAAGCTGCAACAAAAACCCAGCAGACATTCTTACTAAACCTTATAACAGGTCCCCGAAACATATATGTTAATCATACGCCGTATCTAAAATCTTGATACTAGATAACTTTAGTCAAAAATTTTCAAAACATAACCACCAACTAATTCGCGAATTACGTGCGTCACGCTAAATTAATTTAATAATTTTGCCCCCTAATTATATAATTTTCATTTATTTGTTGAAGAAATATGACATGTTTGATTAATCTTTTGAGAGGTTTATTGCTTTTAAACAGTTTTGATGTATCTGTCCATTTGTTATTTTGTGAAACATTTGCGCCTACTATAGTTCGGACCTCAGTTGTCTAAAGGAACTTCAGTGTTTGATGATAAAATTTGGTTATTAAGATCAATTAATTTAAAGATAGAGTCAAAGTTATAAGATTAACTCCTTTCATTATAATAACTTTATTCTACTAATCTTATATTGATATATCTTATTGTATGAATCAAATTTGTTTTGTATGATTGTTTGAACAAATGTCATCAACATTTGAAAAATACATGATTTATTATTTTTGAAAAGCATGTAGTTATGATCTATATTATTCTACTGTACACAAACGTTGTATAAATAACAAATACTAGTATTAATCAATCATATCATGCTTTGTTGAAGTATAGGTGCTTTAATATAACATAATATCAGCCATTGGAAACCGAAGATATAATAATTAAACCCTAGATTAAGCGCTGGTACCAAATGTTATCTACAAAGAATTGATTAATTATCTAAAAGAATAAAGCTGTATTATAAGATATCTAATCTTTTCCTCCTCATCATCATGAAAATAATTCCAAATGAACATGAATAAGATCTCAAACGTATATAATACATAAATTTGTACTTGTTCATAAATGTATTGATTGAACATGCTTTAATTGAAATATAATTTGTATTAAGACAAAGCTAATATCAATAAATATTTAATTCAAAGCTAGCTGGTATCAATTAGTTTGATAAATTCAGATGTAATTGACTTAACCATAAGAATATTGAGTAACAATCTCTGTAGTAATTGCACTGAAATCCACCACCACTACCACTACTAATTTAGGTCATATTGGTACTTTAGGTATAGGTATGTGCCTTATAAAATTCAGTATTAATTAATCTTTCAAAACAAAGGAAGTGTTTTTAAAAACTAAATGAGATTTTGTGTCCCATTTATAGTAACACTCCTGAAAAGTTGGATTTATCACAGCGGCTAATCATCTACTATAACTATGGAAAACACAAATAGCTTATCATATATTATTAATTGTTGAGATCATATTATCCAATCTAATGATGTGATATTGATTAGCTTATAATATTAATGATTTATAGATCAAGAATGATTTATTAAAATCATATCAATTGATGTATAATCATGTATGATGTAACTCATATATCAAACAATGTGTGCCGGCTGGAATTCCCATAACACTACATATTGAACATAAGACAAACATCTGTTTAATCAGTGATCACAACCAAACAGTAATGAAGTAT